TTTGAAGATCAAAGTTGACTGGAAAGCAAAAAGCTGGGAGAGAGTTCCATAAGCAAGACGTTGACCAATTTTATTCAAGATTAATGAAACTTGTGATGTTTGTGAGGGAAAAAAAACTGTAAAAATCTATATAAATTTGTAAAATGAACAAATTAGACCTATTCAAATTGTAGTGGACATATTATTGAAACATATTCTTTTAATGAATCTGTTTCATACCAAATAAAAACCTCCTTTCATTGAAAATTATTAATAAGATACAATATTTTATTGCAGATTTGAATCAGCCAACAACAAAGAAAAATGTTTTTAAATATAAAATATTTTTATTTTCATGTTTCTTTTTTTTTTTCAGCTTGTATGAGTATTAAAGTTCTTGTGTTAAAGTTCCTTGTTTGTAGTTTTTTGTTCAGCTGAATAGAAATGTGATTTCTCCACATGTATGTGTGAAAAAGATTCAAGGAAGAAAGTGAGGAGCAAGAATGTGCCATGTGACTTTCTATTAAGCTGTGGTATCATGAATCTGTTGCAGTATGTTGGCACTACTTCTCTTTACTGATCTTATGCATCTAGAGACTTTACTTAAATACTCTTCAAAGGGATCACGAAATATGCTTTTTATTGCTGGTGGGAATGTGTCCCAATAGTTTAAGAAAGTTTAATATTTATTTTCAAACAATAAATTTATTAACCCTTCTCGCCATTTGGTGTTTATTTCCACCTTTGCTCCACAAATGAATGAAAACCAACTTAAAATAATATTTAATTAACTTATAGTCTATAGAGAAATTATTAATCTGTAAAGTTTGGGCTTTTAAATAAGTATAGCTATAAAGTTATTAGAAACGTTATACTCTCCCAGTCTCACTTATTCAAATTGAGCTGAACCTTTTTGTTGAATATTTGTGTATATACATATGTCTACTGCTACTACATCCAAGCACCAAGCATAAATAAAAGGACAATATATCAAGTATTCACTTTAAGAAGTTGGTGTAGCTCTTTGCTATGGTGTCTAGACTTGATGAATTTAAGCGCAGTACTAGACTGGCAACGAGATCTCACTGATTTACAGTTGAGGTGGCTAGATGTAACTGTAAATTCTTTGCTAACAGTTTCTTTTCTCGCACTTCTCACTTGTGGAACTTCCTTCCAGCTCTATGCTTTCCAGCCAACTTTAATCTGCAAAAATTGAAATGCAATGTGAATCACTATCTACTGTCCTCCTGTCATCTTTTCGTTAATTCCCACTCCTTAGCAATATTCCTGTTTCTAACCCTAACCCACACCCAATAATCCTCTTGCATCTTGGTGTCTTTACTGCCTTGCTTGGGGTGAACTCAATTAAAAAAAAGAAATCAGCCAAAATAGTAAAAGGCATCGTTGGGATATCTTCCTGCATCTGGTCTGTATCCTGATGTATAAAAATGTCTTCATAAGAAGAAAAATAAATGATAAAAAACCTCAAGAATTTGTAGAATATAAAAATTTGGGATTTGCATGTCATTTGATTTTTTTTTTTTTCATTTCTTTTTCTTTGTAGAAGAGTTGAATATCTCTACAAGGCCAAAATTTCACTCCCCCCCCCTTCAACCTTCCTCAAACTTCTCTATTTCTGTATTGCTTTTAATAATTTTATGCAATAGCATAGGTCCCATAAAAAGATCATAGGACTTTAATGGAATGTCCCACACTCCCTATCACCTATGTGGACTGACTATATTGGTAGATATGTATAGTAAGCACAGGATATACCTGGCGGACTTGCTTCGGGAATTACTACCCTGCTAACCGATTCCCTGTCTTTCAGTAATGTATTCTCTTTTACAATAAACCTCTCTTTCTTTCATCTACGCCCGTGTTGCTGTTCCTTTCACTCAAGTACCACCTTTGTCTGTTTGTAACCTTCTTTAAGGATACAACAGGCTTTTATCTACATATAGATTAACACTTCTACCTTTGTGTCCTCTGTAGAAAGCAAATGGTTATACATTGTTTTTGTTTTGCTATGTCCTGTCCTTTCATGACACCTGAAATTTCTAAGGTACATAATGAGGAAAGAGGGCTTGAAAACTTTGACACTTACAGGACATGTCGAATGCAAGCTTATGTAAATAGTTGGCACAACAAAGATTGGGGGAGATCACAAAAATATAAGCAATGCTAAGAACTACAAGGTACAGGAAGTTGTGGAGAATAAGATGTGCAGATTCTTCTTTGAATTTTATCAAGAATCTCTAAATATATAACAGGACAACCAGACCAGATCTGGCTGCAATATTCCAAGCAAAGACAAATGTTAGACAATTTTTCTTGCTAGAATCATATTTATACGTAAGACAGATTCTAGCAAGAAAAATTGTCTAGCACGACATAGTAAATCAACCTTCTTAGCTGAAGACTTAGCAATTGATTTCATATAATCACTCCACTTCATGTCAACTGAAAACGTTTATCTGAGAGGACACAATGAGTCCCTCTCCTGCAAGTTAGCATCAGCTATGCTGGTGGAAGGTAAAAAGGGTTCTCTCAGATGATTAAATGAGAGCAGTTTCGTTTTTGAGGCAGTAAAATTAACAAGCCACTCTTTGCCTCAGTTAACAGCAGATTATAGGTCATTTTTTAGATAAGCTGCCAATTTGACCTTATAGAACTAATTAAACTTACTATTATGACAGGAGTAAATAGTTATCATCAGCGTAGATGCCGAACTGAGAACTAATTACATCAGGAAGGTAATTTATCAAAATTAGGAACAATGTAGGCCCAAGGATAGAGCCCTGGGGAATATCCACATTAATGCAAAAGATCTAGAAGAGTGGCCATTCAAGACAACTTTCATTTCTTGATTTGATAAGAAAGACTTAATCAGTTCAAAAATTTATCCAGAAATACCATAACCTTTCAACTTGTGAAGAAGACCAATATGTTATATCTTGTCAAATACCTTTGAGATATCTAAAGCAATGCCCTGATAGCTTGATAGACTCTTTCAGCAATTATCATTAACATATCATCAGTTGACATAGAAAAGCAAAAGCCATATTACTTATGTGAAAGAAGACCCTGCAAAGTGAGATGTTTAACCAATTCATAGTTAATTAGAGCCTCTCGTACCAAAATGTGGTAGAAGGCTAATAGGTCAATAGAAGGATCAGATAGTTCACTGAAGTTCTTAAAGACTGGAAGTACAGAAGAAGATTACCAACAAGCAGGAAAGCAAGAAGCAGCAAGGCATTTCTTGTAGAGTTTAAAGAGGACAGAAGGAAGTTCAGGAGCACATTTCTTAAGGACAATTGCAGAGATACCATTATGTTCACATGCTTTGTAAGGATTGAATATAGAGATGATAGCAGAAACTATGATTGGAATTATATACACATAATCCTCAAGAAACTCAGTCCTAAGTGGAAAACAGATACTCCAGATGAGTCAAGAATTGAATTTGAAGAGAATTTACAAGCAAAACATTCTGCTTTATCAGCAGATGTATTTACTAGCTATGAACAACCCTAAACATATCAACCTACTATACTGCAATCAAATAAACTCTAACTATAAACAAGATGAAAAAAATGCTAAAAACAGCTCATAAGTATTAATATATCACCCACTGATCTCAGTAAAATTATAAAATTAATTATATACTATACTAATTTAATACAACTAAATCATCTGCAATAGCTCTTCTCGATCAATTTATGTTTTGCAAAAGACCAACACTGTATATTAATTTAAATGTCCTTTGGGAGATTGCAACTCTGACAAAAAAGTAAATATATATATGTTGGTTTCACGACAATGACATTATTGAGGAGACTTATGATTCCAATGTCAGATTCAAGTTCCATAGTCCATCATTTAAAGGAACATTCCTATTCACATTCATGATATGGAGAAATATTAATTGACAATACAAGTATACTCCATCATGAAAATAAAAAACAAAATCTTCAAATTCTTGAAGCCCTCTATATAAGAAAAATACAACCAACACTAAATAAAGTTAATTATGAGTATAACAACGTTTTAAAATGCCTATAACAGCAAAGTTTTAAAACACTTAAACTATAATTTAAAAAAAATTACAATTGTAAAAGTTAAAGTTGCCTCCTTTGTATAACATAATTTTAGCAGTTAATTTCTAAATTGACTTTAATGGCATGCATTCATAGGTGTCCATAATTATAACAGAATATGTTTCATGCGCATTTACAAAAAAAAATTCCCAACTATCAATTACATTAATTTTTTGTCTTAGTAATTCCCTCCTGAAGATGATCTTGGATGAGATTGAATTTACTTGGGAAATAATAGAAGTGAAAATAAACTACAGTGCCTTCCTTAATGAATTTAATAACATTAAGAAATTGATCTGTGAACTTGAGAGAATTAAAATAAAAATAAATAGGAATAATATGTGCAGATTATTCAACCAAGCATACTTAAATGAAGATATGCTGCCGGAAAATACATATATTTGTTCCTGATTTTGTAAAAATATTTGAACAAGAGAATAAGAAAATTTAAATAATCACATAATAACAAGTCTCTAATTATAAATTTTGAAAAAATGTATTTTCTGGGTATTTCTTTCATTTGCTCTTGCCACATAAATTTGTTAGAATTCTAGATTTACACTTTTTTGAATTGACAACAAATATGTTAAACACTGTTTATCAGACAGTTTAATTACAAGAATAGTGTTTTAATTCTTTTGATCTCAATTCTCAAGAAGAATGAAAATGCATAAATCCTGTTTCATATGTTTGGGTTTTATTTACATTCTAAAAATAGCTTTTTGAAACAATAAAAATTACTGAGGGTGTAATACACATTGTCAAGAGAAAAGAATGTCCTTTTGATAAACCATTTTTTTTGTTTTGTTTTTTGTGTGTGTGGATACTTATGTTAAACTTTACCAAAGATTTATTTACTTGTTTTTTTTTTGTTTATTTTTTAACTAAATCAATCATAGTCACTTGTTTGCACCATTCTCAATGGATCATCATTCCTGCCCAGCCATGCTTGCTTTTTTTTTTTATATTCATATACATTTATCTGATTATGCAGAAACCGCAAAGAAGAAAATTGTTAGTCAGGATTACTATTTTCTGTGATCCATCTTATCCATAATATAGTTTGATCAAATTTGCTTCTTCTGAAATGCCAACGACAAGGATTTTTATTTTCTTATTCAATTCTGTTTTCTTTTAGTTCTCTCATCTAGCATTTATTCTTTTCCCAGTTACTGGTTGTCATCATCTCTGGTTGCTGTACTGTTTATTATCTGCAAGTTCTTTGCCAGGAAATTCAGCCCAATCTTCAATACTGACTGGACTAAAATGCTTTTGTGAGGTAAATTTTTAAAATAATCTGAACAAGTCTACTTATAAGAAAGAAAAAAAATGTAAAATTGTAGGAATCTAAAAAAACTCCATTAATCCTGTTAACACAGTGATTTTTTTTTTTTATTGTATTAATGATGAAGCCCGTTTTTTTTGTTTTTTTTTTTTTTTCTTTTGCTTTACTCCGTTATAGAATTTGGTATTGCAGATTGCAGAGATTGGAATGGGTCTTTAGGACACAAATTTTCTTCATAGTTTTGCAAACAAACCCTAAAATGATGCACATATGTTATGAGCAGTTGATGTCCCTAAAGACATAAAAAGTCTCTTATATTTTCAGAAAGAGGAAACTATTCAGCTCTCAAAAATAAGTAAGGGTCATTGTGGAAACTGCTGATGAACACACCAACAAAATGACCTACCCTACTCATACTATTGACTACATTTTCATTTGCTAAAAATGCAATGGTAGGGGTTATTCTATGATTTAGTATTATTATTTGAATATTAGTATATGATTTGGTATAGTTATTACACTAGCTAAAATATGAATACCATTGGACAGCAGAAGTAATATAGTATTCATGTGGTATATAAGTATTCATATAGTATATAATATATGCCAAAATATTTAGTATTGTCCCAAAAATGCTTTGTAAGAGAGAAAAATCAAAACTAGTTTTGCCCTGATTTGGATTGGGGGGAAGAATTTTCAGTGGTAAAACCTTTTTTTTTTATTTTCTTAAAATGACTTGAAAAATGAATTTCATATGCAATATACTAAATATTTGTCTGAGAATTTCCAAAATTTTGGGAGTTTTCTTGTTTACTATTTGATATATTATAGCCATTAAAATCCGTCTGACCCAAAAAGTATTATCTCGATTCTACTTACTACAATCTACAGATGTGGTCATTTATTTGCTATAATTTAATGGTCCTTTATCACACTCCCACATTATGCATACCATTCAAAAGATTCACCAATTTAATAGTATATAATATAGATATGAATAAATGTGTGTGCATTTGAGTTGAGATCAAATATAGATTAGAATTCAGCAGAATGATGAGATAAAGAAAAAAATAGAAAATGTTTATCAATTTGACATGTTTCACTTTTATTCAGGCTTTGACAGAGATTGAAATATAGAGAAAAGGAAGGAAGGAAGAAAGAAATTCTGGTATTTTTACTTTTGTGTTGTTTGATTTTCATTGGTCGATCATGTTTCACATACATTTGATTCTTTTAAACCAATGTTAGTATAATTTGTGGTGTTCTGTCATCTCTCCTTGAATTAGGAAACACCACAAATTGTACTAACATTGGTTTAAAAGTCAAATACATATTCGATCCCAATTTATATAGGGTTAACATGCATAAAAGTTTGTCACTTAGCTGACTGATGTTGGCTTCTACATCCCGACCCCAGTGTTTCATAGGTGGACCTGTCCATCCACTCTTCAGGGGATATCAGTAATTTACTGCTTATATTTTTTGATTTTTTTTTTTTTTTTTTTTTTTTTTTTTAATGCATTTGTTATTGGTGTAAGTTTTCCATATTGTTTGTTCATGTGCAGCCATCTGCCCATCTCTGCAGATGTGCATTTGTATGCGTGTGCTCATCTGCACAGATGTGCATTGTGTAGGTGTCATGATCATTCCTTTTGTTTTTTTTTTTCTTTATTCTTTTTTTCACTTTACACTCGCTCTTTATACAAGAAAGATACATTAAAAGTGAGTGGGTAGGGGAAAAGTGTCTGAATATATGAGAAGAAAAGGGAAAGTATTGAGAAAAGGAATGTGTTGGTCATATGTCTTTACATCCATATCTTACTAGTGTCGCTTTAATCTGACACCTTTTTTTTCTATATATCTAAACTATAATTTTGGAAACTAAAAATTGTATGACTGTAAATACACTCAAAGATGATAAAGTTTTGTTATATGACAGGGATCTCAACTGCACACAGATTCAATATCAATGTTAATTTTGCTGCTTTTGTGGGTCCAACTTAGTTAGTTATATGCCAAATTGAACATACATGTGCAATTCCTCCAAATTGAGGTTATTCTCTCAGACTTACCATTATATGTGACAGTTTCATAATCAATCACACATTCTCAGCTTTTACAACATCAGTTAATATCTTCTGCACAAAAGTTTCCCTGAAATATGTTGGGAAATTGCCAAGTTTTCAGCTGAAATCAAAAATCCCAAATTTAAATGAAATGGTTGCAATCTATAAAAATAAAAAAATAAATGATATGAGTCAAAGAGAAGAATAGGAAAAACTGGTATTTTAGATATTCGTAAAGAACTCAGTGCAGGTCCTGGAGTTGTTTTTATGCTTGTCTTACAACTCACTTTTTATTCAGGTCTTTGACACCACATGCAAATTAGCGATAGTTTAAAAAGAGCAAAAATCACATATACACTTTGACTAAATTGCAAAGACATCATGAACTTTTAGCCATGGATTAAGTTAGTGTTTCTCAGTTCCATTTCACCACATTTATGTCTAACTTTCTTATGTGTGAAATGAGAGAAGCAAAGAAAAGGAATATCTATCAAGTTCTACCAAGATATGCTATCAACAAATGAACAATAAAATTTCTGCCAATTACATCAGTAATCTCTAAGATCCACCAAATTTAACATGTTGATTGTCAGAAGTCAATTATGAAATTTGACTTCAAACACCAACTCTATAATAGCCAACTCGGGCAATAAAAAAGTTTTGAGTGTTGATTTCTAGCTTCAATTGACATCTTAACATTGTTTTCACACTAAAAGTATAACTGCAATTTATGAAATATTTGCTCAGTGATTAACTGCCAAAGAACACAAAACATCCAAGAAAGGATGATAGGACTTAGAGTTATTTAGAAGACTCGGTACCAAAAACTGAGAAGAAACCATACCCTGCAGAGTTTGTGGAAAAAAAAATATGTTGAGAAGCATTGTACTTTTGTACCATTTGTGAAGACAAACCATGTCTATGCATTGTTGATTGCTTCAAAAATTACCATATATTTTTTTTAATACTTGGTTTATATATTGGACAATTTTGTCATTTTTCAAATTCTTCATTTATGTGTTATATTATCAATAAATTTTTCCCATAAAAAGTTTTTTAGTTGCCATACTGCATGCCAGTAAGGCATAGGCCCTGTCAACTGTGGATGTCAATCACCTGAAGTAGATTGACAGGGCCATGGTATGCAGGATGTGTGGTGTGTCCACTTAGGGTGAGATTATGTCAGACTCACTTCTCAAGAACTTAGGCCTTGACGGCCTTGAGTTGCTACTGTACAGCCATAGACTATATGCTGGGCTGGCCATGTTGAGCACAGTGAGGAGCCTATCAAACATGTCCATGTGGTGATGGTTGATGGCAACAGAGGAAGAGAACAGCCCAAGATGACTTGGGAGGGGATGTTATTTGGAAGGACAGGAAAAAGTTAGCCCTAGAACAAGCTGATGCTAGTGACAGGCATATGTGGCAAGGTAAAATGAGATCCCTTCTCGGGCAGGACCCACTTTGGCTTTGTGTGAGATTAATCCTGGTCCTGCCTCAACCAAAACTAAACATGCCTATAATGATGATCAGGCAAACTTTTAAAAAGCAGAGAATACCTCTGTGTGTGGGGGGGAGGGTGATATATAATGTGTGTATGTGTGTATATGTTTGTTGGTTGGTTGTTTTTGTTTAGCAGAATATCAACACCTCTATGGGTTATTTAATGCTGAAATCTAAATATTTTGCATGCAATTTTATTTTATTTTTGGAGATAATAATGGTTTATTGATGCAAGTCTTACTAATTAACCCATAGCTGGGGAGAGAAGAGGTGGATTCATACCTTTTCCATGTGTATTTTGCATATAAGTAAATATAACAAACCCAACTGAATTTGAAATTTAGCTCCCCAATTTACCAATTCTAAGCCATTATCCATTACACCCCACTTCAAATTCAAGCTTACAGCACCCAGTATTCTTCAGTGGTCACCCAGTGAAGCAAAGACCAGGCTTGACTTTGATTAACTTCAGTCATTATATTGGAACTAGTGTTTCAATGTGATGTGGCCTTAAGCTCATTACACCCATATATCCAAGCTTGTAGTACATGGTATTCCCAAGTGGTTACCTGTCTAGGTACTGACTGGGCTTGATAGTTGCTTAACTTGGGTGATCATATAGTAACCAATGTTTTGATGTAGCCATAAGTCTGTGTGTGTTTTATTTCATACTGTATTTATTTTTCTTTCTAGCAAGTTGTCGTTTTTGTCATGGGCTGAACTATGTGGCACAATGGCAGATGTCAACCAAAAAGCAAAGGACCAAAGAAATTATTTCAACCAAACACTGAACAATTCCAATTGTGGGTCAGCTTCGTACACAAAATCCGATGGCAGACAGTCTCCAAATACACATAAGAAATCATCAGAAAGACCACGTGTCAATCCTTCTATGCTTCAGTGTCATTCGGCATCCTCCAAATCAACATTCACTTCTGTCGACTCACCACTTGAAGACGACCGATCTCAATGCTCATGTGCTCCTGTCACCAAAGATGACATAACAAATGAACCTGCTGGGCGAACAGAGGCTGCCCTACCCATCAGACTGCTTTTGGTATCAAGTAAAATCAGGAACGCTTCTGCTATCCAGCAGGCTTTGAACAGTGATGTCATTATGCTTCCATATAAATATGACAGCTCAACATTAGAAAACATTCTGGGTGAGTAAATCAGACATATTTGATACACAATAAAAAATATAATTAAAAATTGTGATAAATTTGTCAGAACAAAGATCATGGTTGACACATTCAGAATAAATGTTATTTTCTAATCCAGCATAAATTTTTGTCACTTTGATTTCTGTTAAAACTTATGCTGACTTAAAGAAAATTTTGAACTAAATTAGAAACAGACATCGAAGAAGGCGGGAGAATGAATCGACCAAAATATTTTCAACATGCTCAAAATAACAAAGATGAAGATAGAATTTCAAATAATTGCATAAAAATAAAACTAGTTTTTGTTTAATATTATATATTTATAAACAAATGCAACATCTGCTATGTATCTAGAGATTCTTGACAAAATCCAAAGAATCTGCAATGTTATCACTTCTGACCTGGAATCTTGACGTCAATTTCCCACCATTATAACATAGCTTTCTTGTACCTTTTCTATAAATACTTAGATAGTAATTGTTTTGATGAGCTTTCCTCTTTGGTACCATGACTTCATGAATTGAAGTCTCATCATTTTACTGTTGAAATTGCTAAATAGAACTATAAGTTCTATTCTTTCAGTTTCTTGCTTTCCTATTAATTACAAAACATTAAATACAATGTTAATGCTTGTTATCTGTCTTTTTGAATCTTACATTATTTAAATTATTCGGACTATTGTCCTCATCTTTGTCGCCATATTTATTACAATGTTTCAACTGTTGTAAGCTCCGGCCTTCTTCTGAGCTGACCAAGCAGAGAAATGAATACAACAAAACTTAAAATATGAGCTCTGGTAGAAAAAATGAAATGATAACAGCAAAAAATTGCAATATGAGCACAGGTAAAAATGGTTGCTAAAGACATTAGGTTTATAAGACCCAGAAATTCATACACAGATGTCCTCAAAGACATCTGTGTATGAACCTCAAGGACACATGACACAGTGGATAAAGGCATTGGTTAGATCCAGTGACAGGACCCAAAGAGTGTGAGTTCAATACCCGGTTAAGGCAGTGGAGAACTTGGAGAGGGAAATTAACAGGAGATAACTGATAACTGACATCCATTAAACATGGCACGTGGAACTAGAACAGTCTATCCCAGTGAGCAAAATAAAGGGTTAAGTTCGACATTCCAACCACCTGAAGAAGGCCGGAGCGTACAACAGCCAAAACATTGTAATAATAAGGTGACAAAGATGAGGACAATAGTCTGAATAATGTAAATAATGTACATAATACCTCATCTCAGAAATATAGACAGATTTTTGAATCTTGTTCTTTTATTGTCCTCTCTCCTTAGTAACATTTTTTCAATTTCCTTCACACACAGTAAATCTATGCCCCCCCCCTGCATCTTAGTGGCTTTATCACCTTGCTTGGGGGGATGAATGATTTAAATATGGGACTAAATCTTTCAATAGTAAAATTATTCTTTATTCATTTATGCGGTTTTTTCAGTGACTTTCTTCAATCTTTTTGTCGCATACTTCCTCTCTTCTGGGGAGGGACTTTTGTTGCTTTCTTCTTTCTCACTCGTCTTCTCTCAGCTGGGTGTTTTACTAGTTGTTCTTTTAGTTCAGACGTAAAATGAGAACTTCAACAAAAGAGATTTTAAACTTATCTATTTTATTAACACATCACCGTGTACCTTTTTTAACCACCCAGTGGGAATATTTATCCCACCCCACTGGGGAGCAGCTTTCACGCATGAAATTAACATTTCTACATTCTTCGACGCATAAAACTTAACTCCCTGAAAACACTTTCTAAATCTAACATTCCCACTTTCAGCTTAGCCAATCAAAATCAACATCTCTATTTTGCCTATCAGCTGACCCCAAGGTCAGCCTCAGAACATTTGAGCCAAATACACTCCCACTAAAAAATAATAATTTGAAATTATTATTTAACATTTTCACAATAATGTAAGGAGCTCTACCTTTCTCTTTGTTTGTTCCAATTTGATTGGGAATGATTGCAAAATACTTTCTGCTCCCCAATTTATAGGCAAAACCATACAAATGCACGATGGGATTTCTTCCTAACTAATAAGATAGGCCATGTTGGTGTCATCTGACACAGTCCTGGTCTGTCTTGTCTTGAAGCCAGAACGCTACATACATTTATCCAAATTCACTCTTGCGTGTCATATTGTTTGCTTTCTCAATATTATTTTTTGCCCTGTTCTTTTTCTTTTCTTCTTATTGTTTATTTCAAACTTTGTCAATTCTGTCTGTTTCAGCAGTTCTGCCATTTACATTTAACCATAGTCACTTACTCGACACTCCTTATATGACACGTGTTTATATAACTTTTTGTTGTCTTGTGTATGTATATCTTAAGATCAACTGGGTTAACTTCCTTTTTTATGTTGGCACAGACACTAATATACTTTGAGGCCCAATTCTGCTCTGAGGTTACTGTCTACATTAACGGTCTGATGTTCCTAACTCTTTTGATGTGGTACCAGTAACAAAGCTTACTTTAGTATCACTTAATACATATTTGGGTCACCACAGATCAACTTCACTTGTGCTACTGCTTCTAGTTAGACTAAAAGCAGTGGCAACCAAAATTTGCGCATGTAAATGATGGGTGTAAAGAAATAGAATAAAATCTTTTTAATGGTAATATTAGCTGTTTCATTACAAGGAAACATTTGGTATTCATTGGTCAAGCAGCTTTGGGTCAAAATTCATTGCCCAAACTGCTTTTGGTCAAAATTTATAAAATCTTCCTCTTAAAAACACTTTTTAGGAAAACATGTTTCTCAAGCCCAGTAGCTGTTATCACTCTTTCCAGTAATGATGGGGGGGTCCTTCCAAAACTATTATTTGAAGTAATGTAGAATGTTAGCATTTTGATTATGTCATTATTTTCTCTTTAAGTTACATGTACTATTCATTTTAGTTGTTGCTACTGTTGGTAGTCCTCAAGTGATGTGCTTTCTGTTATTTGGTATAATTCTTTGTAATGGTGAAGCAGCAGTCCACAATGTTCAAAGAATGATGATCTTTATGAACCAAAGTCCTAATCCTGATTTTGCTTTATGCATCATTGCAGTGAAAGATGATCCTAGTAAAACTCTGTGTGAACTGAAGGTTTTTATTGATTTGATGACATATCAACTCATTATGGATCATTTAATGCTGAAATTTGAAGTTTTGAAGTAATAAAAAGATGGTATGTTATTCCCCTTTCACAATTGAATACATGGTAGATGATTCTCAGCTTTTGTGAATATTGTGTGAACATAATTACTAGAGGCAGTGATATGTGTGTTTTATGTTGTAGTTTTGTTGAATTTATATTTTGGATTTGATTTCTTTAAGAAATTCTAGGATATTATATGGATTAATGGTTGACCATCTTGCTGTATGCTTCACTGAATGTCACTTTTACTCTGGTCCGTGCCTGTTGGTCCATCTCCAGAAAGCCCCCTTTGCACCAATCCTGTGTCCCCATGTTGTTTCAGTATCTGTAGGAATATTGGTGAAGAACTGTCAAAGATCAGGCTTGACTCTCTCTGTCCTGGTTATGCTAGAAATTTAATCAACTTCAACACTCATTAACAACTGTAAAAATAACAACTTTTATTTATGGTACTATGATTGAATAAGATCATGAATGCATAAACAAAAGGGATTTGAAGAAGTTTCCCCATATAAGGAATTCTTAAGCTGGGAGGAAGAGTTTAACCAGTGGTTGCAGCTATGGCTAAACAGCCCAGAGTTGTTCAACTATTTAAATGAAGGCAGTTGATTGCGGGAATTCAAAAAGTGGTGCAGGGTACAGGACTTTAGCTGATTAAGTCATCATGGTGATCTAACAGGGAGATTTTTTTTTTCTGCTAGTGTTGAGACCAGTGAGAGACCTTAGTTCTCTGCTCCTTTGGTGACTGCTTTTTATGTGGGTGCAAACATGAATTGCAATGTTCTGATTGGCCAGCCAATAATAATGCTTAACCAAGGGTCTTGTGCCATACACCTCAAAGGGGAAAAAAGGAAAGCCCCCCAAGAACCCAATATGATTGATGGTACAATCAAAATAATGGTCCTGTGTTATAAGCATCGGGAGGAGAGATGAGAAGCTCCAATTAAAAATGGTGACCTTGTATTGTCCATATCCTTTCAGTGAAACATTTTCCATGTTCCCAAAATCTCACCCTCATTTAATCTGATTATCACAGATATCTGAAATTGTCTTATATTCCTAATCAAAACAAACCTGACCTATTAAGATCTGCTTTGTGTCACTCATTTTTCTTTATCAAAATTAACACTTAAGTTAAACAGATCTAAGACTGTACCAAATGACCAATCTCACCCAAGTTTACAATTTCATCAATCACATTATACTCCATAAGTCATACAAACCAGATATGGTATTGCATTGTTTCAACATGAAAATATTTTTCTTTCTTTAGAAATAAAAAGTAGATTGTCAGTCATGGTGTCATAAACGTCATGAAAGAGTTATTTCATGTTGGTTGTATAGTTAGAGGCATTTCAACCACTATGAGTTATTTGATACTGAAGTCTAATTAATTTGAACACAATTACATGGCTTCAACTCCAGACAAAATGTATTGCTGACCATTTTGTTTTAAAAATATATTGTTGTCATTTTATCATAAATATGTTTTGTTGGTAATTTTTTATATGAAAATGTATTGCTGGCATCTTCACCATAAGAATGTATTTTTATTCTTTCATAGTGTTTTGTTTTTGTTTTGGGGGATTCACTATTTGCCCATAACAGTCCAGTCAATGCTTAATGGAAAACCTCCATCTCATGCCATGCTAACAGAAAAATAATAGTTGGGTCACTTAAGATCTTAATATGAGCAAACAACCTTTTGACATAAAAAAACCCACCAAAATATTAATATATGGATCCAATGGGTTACCTATGGTAATCTTATCCAACTCACCATTTTACATTGGAAAAAAAGAATAATAATGTCCTGCTCTTTCTATTTCTTGTTTCTGTGTGTTTTTGTACAAAAATATTCAATGTTTGTTACTTCAATATCCTGGAAACACACTTTTACTGGATTATAAAACCATTGGAACTCCTTTTGTCTTTGGAGGGATTTTCTTTTTATTGGCTATGTGCCAGCAAAGAAGGACCGGAAAGTCAGCATCACCAGAATCAAACACTAAAGGAACTGAACAGTGGATCACGACGAGCAGGGTATGAACAAGACTTCCACACTGGCACACTACACATATGAAATTAAAACAACATTGGGTAACACAAACAGAAATCTTTGCTATTGCTTGATGATCCCATTATACAATCAACACATCATGGTGCCAGTCTGCTTCTTCCCAGAAAATGTGCCGATTTTTATGGAGCCTAAATCTTTAGTGGTTGCCTAGCAAAAGGAATCCATTGCATAACCAACACCTTTCAGTTTACTATCTCAATTATTTTATGGGGAAGCTAGTAGACACTTTCTTCCTAACCAGGCATCCTAGGGTTTGCACTGACTCTGTTCTGGTAGAGCAGCCATTTGCTTTCTTTCTGTTGAGACAGAATATTAAACGTTGTCTCTTTGAATGATGTGTGGATGTTATTATCAGTAGTGGTAAGCAGCTTCGTTTTCGCCACAGTCCTTAACAGTGCAAGATTAACCTAATGAAAACTTTAATCTATCATGGCCTAATGGTTTATTCAAAGACTAAAATAGATTTGGAAACGGTACTTATTAAAGAAGTCGCATGATAATGCTTATTGCTTGGATGTGGTGTAATCTAATAATCACGATAAGATTACACATTTCCAAAAATCTAATTTGTTGGGTCACAATAAACATCCTGTTTACTTAAGATTACTGTGGATTAGTGAGTGTAATTTCTGCTAGAGTTAACAATTATTATTTGGTTAGCAAACTATCCACCATCTTCTTTCTTCTCAACCAATAATAAAATTATTTACATTATTTGGACTATTGTCCTCATCTTTGTCGCCATATTTATCACAACGTTTCGGCCGTTGTATGCTCTGGCCTTCTTCAGGTGGTTGGCATGTTGAACCGAACCCTTTATTTCGCTCATTGGGGTAGACTGTTCTAGTTCCACGTGCCATGTGCTCAAGGACACACGGCACAGTGGATAAAGGCGTTGGTTAGATCCAGTAACATAACCCAAAGAGTGAGAGTTCAATACCTGGCTAAGGCAATGGAGAACTTTCAGAGGGAAAATTAACAGGAGATAACTGATAACTGACATCCATTAAACATGGCACGTGGAACTAGAACAGTCTACCCTAGTGAGCAAAATAAAGGGTTCAGTTCGACATTCCAACCACCTGAAGAAGGCCAGAGCGTACAACAGCCGAAATGTTATGATAAATATGGCGACAAAGATGAGGACAATAGTCTGAATAATGTAAATAATGTACATCATACCTCATCTCAGAAATATAGACAGACAATAATGAAATCTATCTATAAAGATGGCCTGCCTATATACCAAAAGAGTTCTGTTATTTCTGTGTTTAAATTTCAATGTGTGGAGAACCATCCAGTTTTTGGAGAAGGACAATAACAAAATTTGTGTAAGTATTCCAGTACACTTCCATGTCTGTAATCTCCAAACATTTTATTAATAACTGGCAATGCACTCTCGCCAACAATTTGAGCGTGTTCTCGCTTTTGAGCCGCTCACATTTAAATTTTCATTTGAAAGTTTTGGGAGACTATATTAAATTTGTGTAACTAAAAAGAATGGTTGTTGGACAAAGTTTAACATTCAAGTCCACAAAAAAACTGGGTCAAAAAGGACAGTTATTCCCTTGATACCGCTATTATTGTATACACTTTTGACTCTGTCAGCAGTGTTTATTTATAAGATTATAAAAATGTGAACCAAATACAATGCGATATTTATTTACTGTTTATAAAAAGAAATTGACCCATAAATGAAAATGTTTTCTTACATAAATAAATTCTGTTAAAATTATTGAAGAAAAGATTTTAAAGCAGAAATTATCCTTCATTTAGGAGACATTTGTAAATGTCAGTTTGTTTTCTTTGTATTTGTTTTTCTAGCATGTCATTAAATTCACATTGGATTATGGCCATATCTTGTTAAAACATCGGTTCCCGTGCAATCACCGAAGTTAAACAACATTGAGTCTGGTCCGTACCTTGTAAGCTTGGATGTGCAGGTGGTGTAACAGATAATGGCTCTGAATTGTTAATCAGAGAGCCAAGTTCCAATTCCAGTTGTTTCTGTTATATTCACTTATGCACTAATACCCTTGGGAAAGGTATGAATCCATCTTTCTCTCTCCTCCCAGCTATGGGTCAAGTAGTAAGACTTGTGTCACTAAATCATTACAGGTTGAGAATCATCTGTCCAAAATTCTTGAGACCAGAAGTGCCTTCAGTTTTCAGATCTTTTCACATTTTGGAATACAGCATGTATATAGCATCTATAAAATGGAGCAGCTTGGGAATGGAAGCCAAGCATAAACACGATATCCCTTTACATTTCATAACACAGCTTATACATATACCTTGGGGGTAATTTTATATAACATATAACCTGAAAGTAGTTTTATATAAAATTTAATAAATTTTGTCTACATACAGATACAGGTACTGATGCTAGTCATGTGATGCTCACACAGATTTTTCAGGGGTGAAATTAAGATTTCACATAAAAATAATATTTTGTACTTTCTGTACATGTACAAAAAAATATGATCACTATTTACAGAAAATATATAAATGCAGGACATTTTGCCATTTTGAATAATCTTTACTGGGCACAAAACACCTGGTAAGTAATCTACAAAGGTGTTGCTGTGATGATCGCTAACAAAAAACTGGTGCCAACGTATGCTACATAGTTAGGCTAGGGAACCCCCCCTCACCCAGGGCAGATGAGGGTCACTTACAACAGCTTCATATCACCTAAGGACTTTCCGAGGGCTTTCTGAAATTTTCCATTTGTAGTAAGTCAAAGATTTCAGAGTTTGGGGGTTTTCAGATAAAGAATAATCAACCTGTATTATTTCCAAAAGAATTCTTACAATCTAAAAAAATATTTTCTGACTTTAAATAGCCTGTAAAAGGTTGATAAACTGTAAAAAATAACATAATAATCAATCATTTCTCATTGTACATCTGATGCAAGGGCCATAATGACAATAAACAATCATTTTGTTAAATATGTATAGATAATATTAAAGGGAAAACAGTAGAAAATTGGGCAACTTCAGGCAGTGTAATGGTTAACAAGCTTGTCTCACTAGAACAATTAAGACTGAGTAGTGAGTTTGATCCTCGCTTGGTGCCCCATACTTTTGACCTTGTGCCACATCCAAGCTACGCTAGGAAAATCAAGGGAACAGTGCCTTTGCTTGTTTATCTGTCAAACTCTCTGCCTTAAACAGAGAAGAACCTGGATGAGGCTTTGCCAAAGAGCAAAGTTTCGTCTTGAGAGGTAGACAGGCCCTGAACCTGTTTATACAGGTTCTAAGGGAATATTTTTGGCCGAGCCTATGGACTCGAAGAACCCACAGTAAAATGAGCCTTGTGCCACATCCATCCTTCTGGGGGGGGCTGTTAAATATAACACTAGAAAATTGATTGTCATAATAACAACATATTTTATATTTTATAGTCTGTGAGTCAGATGGAATATGTACAACTGGATTTGATGCATAGACAGTAGTTTGTTGATCTCAGACTAAATTGATTAAATAACGAATGCCATGAAGATTAATTAATTAGTCAACTAATTCAACTTTTCTTCTTTTCAGAGTTGGTTGACAAATGTTTGAACGGTTGTCAAGTGACAAGTGTGGCATTTATTCTCAGTTCCCTTAACAATTCTCTCCAATTGTCTGGGAAAGATGAAAAGGTGAGAAACTTTAATTCACAATTAACATTTGTTACTTTGTCATCAATATAAAAAGTAATTCCTGATTCAATCAGGATTAAAAGTGTGATTAATTTTGTCAATTATAAAGAGGATTAGCTTAATTCAGATCTTGGAAAAGACTCTGGTATTTTGTAGTAAAGTTGTTGACGTTATTTTGCTGTGAGATCTATTTCAGATCTTTAACAATAATATTTTAGGTAAAGCATGTCTGCCACATTAAATGAATATTAAATGACATTGTAATTGTTTATTTAAAAAATGTCAAACCTTCTCAGTCACAGGTTATATTCTTGTTGTAAGGTTAGGCAAGTGTGTGTTGAGGTTGGGGGAAGCATAACTTACTGCTCGCTCAGCAACTATGGGAGTAATAGGCAGAGAGAGGGGAAAGAGGAGGAAACAAAAACTGACACAGAAACCACAGCAATTTAAGGTACAAAAATGGCCAAAGGACTGACTTCGCAAGACATTATTTCCTCCCAACTGCTGGCTTTCCCCCAACTTTTATTGGCATGAGACATCGTACAAATATTCGGATCTTTACCAGTTGCAGAGAGGCCTGTATCTAACATGCCGAATTGTCATGCTGGAATCAGGATGTAACTGGTGTTGACAAACCTGTCCATATGCAATCCAAGGTCTCTTGCATCTGTACTAACACGCGTTTGCCACAATTTTCCTTTCAATCCCAGCTCTCTCCAATTCCTTTAGCTCTTGATCTTTGCTCTCTCCAATTCCTTCAGCTCTTGATCTTTGCTCTCTCCAATTCCTTCAGCTCTTGATCTTTGCTCTCTCCAATTCCTTCAGCTCTTGATCTTTGCTTCTCCAATTCTTCAGCTCTTGATCTTTGCTCTCCCAATTCCTTCAGCTCTTGATCTTTGCTCTCTCCAATTCCTTCAGCTCTTGATCTTTGCTCTCTCCAATTCCTTCAGCTCTTGATCTTTGCTCTCTCCTTCAATCTTTGCTTCAATTCCTTCAGCTCTTGATCTTTGCTCTCTCCAATTCCTTCAGCTCTTGATCTTTGCTCTCTCCAATTCCTTCAGCTCTTGATCTTTGCTCTCTCCAATTCCTTCAGCTCTTGATCTTTGCTCTCTCCAATTCCTTCAGCTCTTGATCTTGGCTCTCTCCAATTCCTTCAGCTCTTGATCTTGGCTCTCTCAATTCCTTCAGCTCTTGATCTTTGCTCTCTCCAATTCCTTCAGCTCTCTTTTGCAATTCCTTCAGCTCTTGATCTTGGCTCTCTCCAATTCCTTCAGCTCTTGATCTTTGCTCTCTCCAATTCCTTCAGCTCTTGATCTTTGATCTCTCTCCAATTCCTTCAGCTCTTGATCTTGGCTCTCTCCAATTCCTTCAGCTCTTGATCTTTGCTCTCTCCAATTCCTTCAGCTCTTGATCTTTGCTCTCTCCAATTCCTTCAGCTCTTGATCTTTGCTCTCTCCAATTCCTTCAGCTCTTGATCTTTGCTCTCTCCAATTCCTTCAGCTCTTGATCTTTTTGATCTTGGCTCTCCAATTCCTTCAGCTCTTGATCTTTGCTCTCTCCAATTCCTTCAGCTCTTGATCTTTGCTCTCTCCAATTCCTTCAGCTCTTGATCTTGGCTCTCTCCAATTCCTTCAGCTCTTGATCTTGGCTCTCCCAATTCCTTCAGCTCTTGATCTTTGCTCTCTCCAATTCCTTCAGCTCTTGATCTTTGCTCTCTCCAATTCCTTCAGCTCTTGATCTTTGCTCTCTCCAATTCCTTCAGCTCTTGATCTTTGCTCTCTCCAATTCCTTCAGCTCTTGATCTTTGCTCTCTCCAATTCCTTCAGCTCTTGATCTTTGCTCTCTCCAATTCCTTCAGCTCTTGATCTTTGCTCTCTCCAATTCCTTCAGCTCTTGATCTTTGCTCTCTCCAATTCCTTCAGCTCTTGATCTTGGCTCTCTCCAATTCCTTCAGCTCTTGATCTTTGCTCTCTCCAATTCCTTCAGCTCTTGATCTTTGCTCTCTCCAATTCCTTCAGCTCTTGATCTTTGCTCTCTCCAATTCCTTCAGCTCTTGATCTTTGCTCTCTCCAATTCCTTCAGCTCTTGATCTTTGCTCTCTCCAATTCCTTCAGCTCTTGATCTTTGCTCTCTCCAATTCCTTCAGCTCTTGATCTTTGCTCTCTCCAATTCCTTCAGCTCTTGATCTTGGCTCTCTCCAATTCCTTCAGCTCTTGATCTTTGCTCTCTCCAATTCCTTCAGCTCTTGATCTTGGCTCTCTCCAATTCCTTCAGCTCTTGATCTTTGCTCTCTCCAATTCCTTCAGCTCTTGATCTTTTGCTCTCTCCAATTCCTTCAGCTCTTGATCTTTGCTCTCTCCAATTCCTTCAGCTCTTGATCTTTGCTCTTGATCTCTCTCAATTCCTTCAGCTCTTGATCTTTGCTCTCTCCAATTCCTTCAGCTCTTGATCTTTGCTCTCTCCAATTCCTTCAGCTCTTGATCTTTGCTCTCTCCAATTCCTTCAGCTCTTGATCTTTGCTCTCTCCAATTCCTTCAGCTCTTGATCTTGGCTCTCTCCAATTCCTTCAGCTCTTGATCTTGGCTCTCTCCAATTCCTTCAGCTCTTGATCTTGGCTCTCTCCAATTCCTTCAGCTCTTGATCTTGGCTCTCTCCAATTCCTTCAGCTCTTGATCTTGGCTCTCTCCAATTCCTTCAGCTCTTGATCTTTGCTCTCTCCAATTCCTTCAGCTCTTGATCTTTGCTCTCCAATTCCTTCAGCTCTTGATCTTTGCTCTCTCCAATTCCTTCAGCTCTTGATCTTGGCTCTCTCAATTCCTTCAGCTCTTGATCTTTGCTCTCTCCAATTCCTTCAGCTCTTGATCTTTTGCTCTCTCCAATTCCTTCAGCTCTTGATCTTTGCTCTCTCCAATTCCTTCAGCTCTTGATCTTTGCTCTCTCCAATTCCTTCAGCTCTTGATCTTTGCTCTCTCCAATTCCTTCAGCTCTTGATCTTTGCTCTCTCCAATTCCTTCAGCTCTTGATCTTTGCTCTCTCCAATTCCTTCAGCTCTTTGGATCTTTGCTCTCTCCAATTCCTTCAGCTCTTGATCTTTGCTCTCTCCAATTCCTTCAGCTCTTGATCTTTGCTCTCTCCAATTCCTTCAGCTCTTGATCTTTCCAATTCCTTCAGCTCTTGATCTTTGCTCTCTCCAATTCCTTCAGCTCTTGATCTTGGCTCTCTCCAATTCCTTCAGCTCTTGATCTTTGCTCTCTCCAATTCCTTCAGCTCTTGATCTTTGCTCTCTCCAATTCCTTCAGCTCTTGATCTTGGCTCTCTCCAATTCCTTCAGCTCTTGATCTTGGCTCTCTCCAATTCCTTCAGCTCTTGATCTTGGCTCTCTCCAATTCCTTCAGCTCTTGATCTTGGCTCTCTCCAATTCCTTCAGCTCTTGATCTTGGCTCTCTCCAATTCCTTCAGCTCTTGATCTTGGCTCTCTCCAATTCCTTCAGCTCTTGATCTTTGCTCTCCAATTCCTTCAGCTCTTGATCTTGGCTCTTCCAATTCCTTCAGCTCTTGATCTTTGCTCTCTCCAATTCCTTCAGCTCTTTGATCTTTGCTCTCTCCAATTCCTTCAGCTCTTGATCTTTGCTCTCTCCAATTCCTTCAGCTCTTGATCTTTGCTCTCTCCAATTCCTTCAGCTCTTGATCTTTGCTCTCTCCAATTCCTTCAGCTCTTGATCTTGGCTCTCTCCAATTCCTTCAGCTCTTGATCTTTGCTCTCTCCAATTCCTTCAGCTCTTGATCTTGGCTCTCTCCAATTCCTTCAGCTCTTGATCTTGGCTCTCTCCAATTCCTTCAGCTCTTGATCTTTGCTCTCTCCAATTCCTTCAGCTCTTGATCTTTGCTCTCTCCAATTCCTTCAGCTCTTGATCTTTGCTCTCTCCAATTCCTTCAGCTCTTGATCTTGGCTCTCTCCAATTCCTTCAGCTCTTGATCTTGGCTCTCTCAATTCCTTCAGCTCTTGATCTTGGCTCTCTCCAATTCCTTCAGCTCTTGATCTTTGCTCTCTCCAATTCCTTCAGCTCTTGATCTTGGCTCTCTCCAATTCCTTCAGCTCTTGATCTTGGCTCTCTCCAATTCCTTCAGCTCTTGATCTTTGCTCTCTCCAATTCCTTCAGCTCTTGATCTTTGCTCTCTCCAATTCCTTCAGCTCTTGATCTTTTGCTCTCTCCAATTCCTTCAGCTCTTGATCTTTGCTCTCTCCAATTCCTTCAGCTCTTGATCTTGGCTCTCTCCAATTCCTTCAGCTCTTGATCTTTGCTCTCTCCAATTCCTTCAGCTCTTGATCTTTGCTCTCTCCAATTCCTTCAGCTCTTGATCTTTGCTCTCTCCAATTCCTTCAGCTCTTGATCTTTGCTCTCTCCAATTCCTTCAGCTCTTGATCTTTTGCTCTCCAATTCCTTCAGCTCTTGATCTTTGCTCTCTCCAATTCCTTCAGCTCTTGATCTTTGCTCTCTCCAATTCCTTCAGCTCTTGATCTTTTGCTCTCTCCAATTCCTTCAGCTCTTGATCTTTGCTCTCTCCAATTCCTTCAGCTCTTGATCTTGGCTCTCTCCAATTCCTTCAGCTCTTGATCTTGGCTCTCTCCAATTCCTTCAGCTCTTGATCTTGGCTCTCTCCAATTCCTTCAGCTCTTGATCTTGGCTCTCTCCAATTCCTTCAGCTCTTGATCTTGGCTCTCTCCAATTCCTTCAGCTCTTGATCTTGGCTCTCTCCAATTCCTTCAGCTCTTGATCTTGGCTCTCTCCAATTCCTTCAGCTCTTGATCTTTGCTCTCTCCAATTCCTTCAGCTCTTGATCTTGGCTCTCTCCAATTCCTTCAGCTCTTGATCTTGGCTCTCTCCAATTCCTTCAGCTCTTGATCTTTGCTCTCTCCAATTCCTTCAGCTCTTGATCTTTGCTCTCTCAATTCCTTCAGCTCTTGATCTTGGCTCTCTCCAATTCCTTCAGCTCTTGATCTTTGGCTCTCTCCAATTCCTTCAGCTCTTGATCTTGGCTCTCTCCAATTCCTTCAGCTCTTGATCTTTGCTCTCTCCAATTCCTTCAGCTCTTGATCTTTGCTCTCTCCAATTCCTTCAGCTCTTGATCTTGGCTCTCTCCAATTCCTTCAGCTCTTGATCTTGGCTCTCTCCAATTCCTTCAGCTCTTGATCTTTGCTCTCTCCAATTCCTTCAGCTCTTGATCTTTGCTCTCCAATTCCTTCAGCTCTTGATCTTTGCTCTCTCCAATTCCTTCAGCTCTTGATCTTTGCTCTCTCCAATTCCTTCAGCTCTTGATCTTGGCTCTCTCCAATTCCTTCAGCTCTTGATCTTTGCTCTCCAATTCCTTCAGCTCTTGATCTTTGCTCTCTCCAATTCCTTCAGCTCTTGATCTTTTGCTCTCTCAATTCCTTCAGCTCTTGATCTTGGCTCTCTCCAATTCCTTCAGCTCTTGATCTTTGCTCTCTCCAATTCCTTCAGCTCTTGATCTTTTGCTCTCTCCAATTCCTTCAGCTCTTGATCTTGGCTCTCTCCAATTCCTTCAGCTCTTGATCTTTTGCTCTCTCCAATTCCTTCAGCTCTTGATCTTGGCTCTCTCCACCTTCAGCTCTTGATCTTTGCTCTCTCCAATTCCTTCAGCTCTTGATCTTGGCTCTCTCAATTCCTTCAGCTCTTGATCTTTGCTCTCTCCAATTCCTTCAGCTCTTGATCTTGGCTCTCTCCAATTCCTTCAGCTCTTGATCTTTGCTCTCTCCAATTCCTTCAGCTCTTGATCTTTGCTCTCTCCAATTCCTTCAGCTCTTGATCTTGGCTCTCTCCAATTCCTTCAGCTCTTGATCTTTGCTCTCTCCAATTCCTTCAGCTCTTGATCTTTTTGCTCTCTCCAATTCCTTCAGCTCTTGATCTTTGCTCTCTCCAATTCCTTCAGCTCTTGATCTTGGCTCTCTCCAATTCCTTCAGCTCTTGATCTTTTGCTCTCTCCAATTCCTTCAGCTCTTGATCTTGGCTCTCTCCAATTCCTTCAGCTCTTGATCTTGGCTCTCTCCAATTCCTTCAGCTCTTGATCTTGGCTCTCTCCAATTCCTTCAGCTCTTGATCTTTGCTCTCTCAATTCCTTCAGCTCTTGATCTTTGCTCTTCCAATTCCTTCAGCTCTTGATCTTTGCTCTCTCCAATTCCTTCAGCTCTTGATCTTTGCTCTCTCAATTCCTTCAGCTCTTGATCTTGGCTCTCTCCAATTCCTTCAGCTCTTGATCTTTGCTCTCTCCAATTCCTTCAGCTCTTGATCTTTGCTCTCCCAATTCCTTCAGCTCTTGATCTTGGCTCTCTCCAATTCCTTCAGCTCTTGATCTTGGCTCTCTCCAATTCCTTCAGCTCTTGAGCTCTTGATCTTTGCTCTCTCCAATTCCTTCAGCTCTTGATCTTTGCTCTCTCCAATTCCTTCAGCTCTTGATCTTTGCTCTCTCCAATTCCTTCAGCTCTTGATCTTGGCTCTCTCCAATTCCTTCAGCTCTTGATCTTTGCTCTCTCCAATTCCTTCAGCTCTTGATCTTTGCTCTTCCTTCAGCTCTTGATCTTTGCTCTCTCCAATTCCTTCAGCTCTTGATCTTGGCTCTCTCCATTCCTTCAGCTCTTGATCTTTGCTCTCCAATTCCTTCAGCTCTTGATCTTGGCTCTCTCCAATTCCTTCAGCTCTTGATCTTGGCTCTCTCCAATTCCTTCAGCTCTTGATCTTTGCTCTCTCCAATTCCTTCAGCTCTTGATCTTGGCTCTCTCCAATTCCTTCAGCTCTTGATCTTTGCTCTCTCCAATTCCTTCAGCTCTTGATCTTGGCTCTCTCCAATTCCTTCAGCTCTTGATCTTTGCTCTCTCCAATTCCTTCAGCTCTTGATCTTTGCTCTCTCCAATTCCTTCAGCTCTTGATCTTGGCTCTCTCCAATTCCTTCAGCTCTTGATCTTGGCTCTCTCCAATTCCTCAACTATTTTGAATTGGCATCTATCAATTTTTTCCACTATTGTAATTATTGAAACAATTTCTGAAAGGAAATTGCTTTATTGATTGCAATCAAATGAAAAGAAAAAAATCTTTATTTCAATGAATCATTCCATTTAATGCCCAATTGCTCCCTGGGCTAAAATTCCTCCTTCATATTTGAAATTCCCCCCACCCCGGGAACCAAACTGATTTCATTCCAGATTTCCTAAATTAAAAGAAAAAAAATGACAACAAAAATATTTGCCCATTATTATATTTTTTTGATCAATTTAATAATTTTTGCTTTTCATCTTTATTAATGGCCTTTTTCATATACAAATGAATTGCTTTTCATCTTTTTTATTAATGGCCTTCTTCATACACAAAAGAATTTTAGCCAAAAATAATAAAAAAGAAAGGAAATGATTTTTTTTAAATTCAGCGATATCATTTTTTTTTTTTCCATATTGCTAAAACTATAAACTTGCGGACTGGAATTGACAAGAAGCACCAAGTCTTTAATGAATTTAATTTGAAGAGACTCTTAATAGAAAAAAAATATCAAAGAAGTTGTCAATTATACTTATTCTTGTCTACTTGGAATTCCAGCTCAAATGGTGTCTAATCTGAAAAAAAATTTCAATAACATTCGACAAGTGTCACTGGATGACCAGAGTTACTAAGAAGTAAAAAGTGCCATGAAAGATTATTCTCCCAGATCATTTGAAAAACATCAGGAAAAAAAATGAATGAATGTAACAACCTAAGAGAAGCAGTTTTTCCAAATTTGTGTCAATGCTGTTATTATGGCATCCTTAAATTCTTCTGGATTGGTTATCTGTATATCCAGGTGCTTGATGAGATTAAGATCTGGTGACTATGGAAAACTCATTTCTTCAACCAATCTACCACCATTTTTTATTTGTGACATGGTGTGCTGCCCAGCTGAACATGACCACCAAAGGTGGGTGCACTGTAGTTATAAATAAGGAACTCAGGATCAGTCACCATACCTAAGTAGGCTGTGGCATATAAAGGGTCTTTTATTGGTACTAAGGGTCTCAATCTATGCTAAGAAAATATTCCTCCATTACATTAAACCACCATCACCAGCCTAAACCATTAATACAATGCATGATAGACAGATATTTTTGTGTTGTTTATGCCAATTTTTAACCCTATGCAGATGTCGCAAAAAACTTGAGATTCATCAAACCAGGCAATATTTTTCCAGTCTTCTATTGTCCAATTTTTGTGATTCTTAGCAAATTGCAGCTTCAGTTTCTTGTTCCTATTTGACAGGAGGCACCCAGTGTAGTTTTCTGCTGCTGTAGCTCATCTGCTTCAAGGTTCAACATGTTGAACATTCAGCGATGCTCTTCTGTATACCTCCATTGTAAAGTGTGCTTATTTGACCTGCTGTTGCCTTTCTATCAGTTTGAAACAGCTTATTCAAATTTCATTGATTGGTTTGCGTAATTGAGCAAAAAAAACAGTTTTTAAATCTCAACAAAAAATGTTAGTGATATACTAAATACTGTTATCATGTTATCAAAAAATTCTAATAAAATCAAATTGACTGCTGATCCCAAAAATGACCTATGATTTGGTTGCTAACTGGGGCAAAAAGTGGCTTCTTAATTGATGCCTCCAAAATGAAACTGCTCTCAGTTAATCATCTTAAAGAACTTTTATTTGCCTTCCATCAGCATGGCTGATGCTAACCTCCAGAAGAGCAACTCACTGCAACTTCTTGGTTTCCACTAACATGAAATGGAAAGATTATATTGAATCAATTGCTAAGTCTGATGCTAAGAAAATTGATTCACTGTGTCATGCTAGACAATTTTCTCACCAGAATCTACCTGGCATATTTATAAGTTTACCATTCCTCTATGCATTGAATATTGTGGCTATGTCTGGATTGATACTTCTTATATATATATATATATATATATGTATATATAAATTCTTGATAAAATCTAATGAAAAATCTGCAACATTAGTGTTCCTGACCTTGTATATCATCTTCAGTCACTTTCCCACCATTGTAATATAGCTTCCCTGTATATTTTCTATAAATATTTTCATGGTAATTGTTTTGATGAGCTTTCCTCTTTGGTACTTTGACTTCAAGAATTTAAGTGCAGTACTTGATTAGCAGCTAAGTCTCATAATTTCACTGTTGAAATTTATAGTTGTAGTCTTAAATTCTATGCTAATAGTTTCTTCTCTAGGAATTCTCATTTGTGGAACTCTCGTGTGGCTTCCTGATTTCCTGTCAACAAATTTTTCAAACATTTAAATGCAATGCCAATCATCATTTTCTCTCTCCTTGAAGCCTATTCATTTATTGTCTTCTCTGTTTCTTTCACTTTCAGTAACCCCTTGCATCTTAGTGGCTTTATTGCCTTACTGGTAGTGAAATGATAAACAAAAGAAAAATGCAACAATCTCAATAAAGTTTACACTATTTACATCATTCCAACTGTTGTCCTCATCTTTCTTGCCACATTCACAATGTTTTGACAGTTATACACTCCAATTCCTTTTAGTCCATGGGGGTCGATTATTCTAATTCCACATGTGAGACCTTTTCTGGATATCTCAGTTTTTAGTAATTCAATTCTCCAAGTTTTTGTTCTCTCTCTGTGGCCAGGTATTGAACTCACAACTCTTTGGGTCAAGTTATATCGGAGGAATCACCTGAAGAAGACTGGAACTTACAATGGCCGAAAAATCATGAATATTGCAATAAAGAACAGTTCAAATGATGTAAATAGTATAAATAGTTACAATATTTCATCTTAGATATATAGACAGATGTTTCTATAAAATGTTTAATGTTTTATTAAAGGTTTTGTCTCGAGAAACGTTGGCAGGGCAGACAGGAGTTCAACAGTTCTTCCAGAATTTGGTAAATAGGTACTTAAAACCAATGTCTTCTAGTGCTGGCATAAAGACAGGTTTACACTTCCTGGCATGTGCTATCACAACACACACTGCAATGGAATTGTTAGCACATGCGTTGACAGACATCATCAAGGTTAGTATGACCCAGTCTCTTTTCAGTACTTTGATGTTCCTATATTTATAGTCAACAACAAAATTATTTGTACACACATCGATTCTGAATATTTTTATCCATTTCTCAGAATCTAGTGTCCGTATGATATCTGTTTTTTTATATGTTAATAAGCACACAAAAAAACGGAATATAAGACTCAATTTTCAGAACAATAGGTTAAATAGAATGAATTTGGCAGGCAAATTATGCCAAATAGGAAAAGACAAAATGATTCGTACAGTATCGTTTTAAATTGCTTGACTCATGTAAATATAAGTAATTTACATAATTATTTTATTGCCTAAGCCTTCTAGACTATTTATTCAGTAGAATATTTGAGATAATTCCAGCAAATAACATCATGTGGTGCAGAGAGTGCCACCATTGGTATTCTTACATTAACAGCATGATGGGGAAGACAAAGGAGATTATCGTTGACTTGAAACAGAGAATTATTAATATCCACAAGTCAGGAAATACTTACAGCAATATTTCAAACCAATTAGCTAACCCTAGATCCATGGTACAGTCCATTATAAAGAGGTTTAATCAGTTTGGCACAACAGAAAATTTGCCTGGGCATGGAAGAAAACCCAAATTATCAACAAGAACTACACAAAAACTGTCATGAGCTTAATATAAACCCAAGAGTTGTTTTGAAAGACATTGACAAAAGTTTGGATATGATGAATATCAGTGGAAGTACTCACATAATGCAACATTGTTTAACTAGAAATGAGTTGTATGGAAACCGATCATAACAAATCTCTCTTCACAAACCATGTCACATTGTTACTCAGTTTAATTTGCCAAAACATTGTTGGACGAAGAAAATTGCTTTTGGGAACATGTACTATGTAGCGATTGAGCTTTTTGGACATAACAATGTACAGAAGATTTGGCAAAAGAAAGGTGAGGCTTTCCTCCCAAAGAACACAGTGGCAACATTAAAACATGGAGGTGGCTCGATAATCTGTTGTGGTTCTTTTAGCTCAGGGAGGACTGGACAATTGTAATAGGAGGAATAATGAAATTTGCAGACTATATGAAAATTCTGAATGAAAATCTTCATCTGAGTTGATGATTTATTTTCCAGCAAGATAATGATCCCAAACGTACATCTAAATCAGTGACTGTGTGGCTTCAGAAAAAGAAGAATACAGTTCTGTCATGGCCTTCAATGAGTCCTGAATTGAATCCTATTGAAAATCTATGGCAAGAATTGAAAGTTCGAATACATCATTGATCACCAAAAAATCTTCAGGAATTAGAATGTGTAATAGAAGAATGGAAGAAAATCCCAGAAAAGACATGTTCAAATCTCATTAAAACATTAGAAAATGATTGCATCAAGTTATAAAGAGGAGAGGTTTATTAATATTGTAAAAATTGTTCAATTTTTTCTATTTTTCATACTGTACAAATAATTTTGTCTTTTCCTATTTTGCATAATTTGCCTGTCAAATTTGTTGTATTTCACCTATTGCGCTGAAAATTGAGCTTTATATTCCTTTTTTCTTTTTTTTTTCTTTTTTTTTTGGCACTTATTGACATACAGAAAACCTGGCATCATATGGGCATTAGATTCTGAGAAATGGATAAAAATATTCCAAATTGGTGGGTGTACGAATAATTCAGTCATTGACTGAAACTAAGTTTATCACTTTAAACATTATTTTAGTGAATGCCCATGTTTCAGATGTTGCTTCATTTATTTATTAAACAGTATATTTATTTTCATCTACCGATCTGAGTAAACTACGCATTTACTCAAATATGGGCATCCACTAAAATAATGTTTAAACTGATAAAATCTGTTGGGTTAATAAATAAAGAATCCATTACTTTAGAAAATTGCTTTGTTTATGTTTGGATATAAAACTGAGTAAAATCTATTTTGAGAAATTTGAGAAGACTTTCCACTTATAAGACACAATTTAACTTGGCTTGATCATCAACACACTCCATGACTGAGACAGTATAAAAACGTTGGATCTAATGACAAGGGGGATGCAAATTTGAATCCTGCCTGAAGAGTGCATATTTTTCTTTAAAAAGATTTCTCAAATATTCAGGCCAGTAGAGAAAAATAAATATATTCAGATAAATAAATTTATTCATAGATAACATGATAGAATGAAGCATTATTTATTCAATGACAAATCTCCATCTTCTGTTAATGATTGTTTGGTTTTGCTTTTAAGATTTGCTGTACTCTTCCAAAATGCAAACGCTATTATTTACTTTCTTTGCAGTTGGACTAGTGTCTTCATCTTTGTTGTTATTATCACAATATGATGACCATTGTATCCTACAGTCTTCAAGTGTCTGATAATTTGGGCAACCTTTAGGGAATTTTGAACAGAAATAAAGGGTTCAGTTCAAAATTCCCTGAAGATTGCCCAGATCAGTAGACACCTGGGGAGCACAATGGTCAAGACTTTGTGATAATAACAACAAATATAAAGACATTAGTTTTGACTGTAAATAATAACTCCTCATCCTAGTACTATTCAAGTTCCCATATGATCACCAAATTTAAGCAACATTGAGCCTGGTCAGTACTTACCTACCTGAGAATACCAGATACTGTAAGCCTGGATTTGCAGGCAGTATAATGGATAATGGTTCAGAATTGTTAATTGGAGAGTTCCCATACAATCACCGAAGTTAAGCAATATTCCACCTGGTCAGTACCTAGATAGGTGGCTGTTTGGGAATACCAGGTGCTGTAAGCCTGGATGTGCAGGCAGTGTAATGGATAATAGCTCGGAATTGTTCATCAGAGAGCTGAGTTCAAATTCCAGTTGGGTTTGTTATATTTGCTTATGCACAAATATCCATAGGAAAGCTATGAAGCGACCCCTTCTCCCCCAGCTGTGGGTTAATTAGTACGACATATCATTATCTTCCAAAAAATATTTCTTACCATCTAAAAATATTTTCTGACTTTAACTAACCTGCAAAGGGTTGATAATCCATAGAAAATGAATTGATCAAACAATGATTTGTGATAGATATATATATATATATATATATATATATATATATATATATAAAATTGCATGTTGATCAAAAGCTGGAAATGTTGTTAGTTGAATTATCTTAAAATTTTTACTGTATAATGTGATTAAGTGTTGAATTATTTGTGTAAAATAAATGCTTCTTTCATCATTCGGATCCAGATGTATTGATGCATGTTCATTTTACAACATTCAAAGGAAAAACCTATTACTATTCAAGGATTCAGAAATACTCCTGACCTTATGGACCAGAAGATAGAACATTTATTTTTTATATTCAACTTTGTTCTTTTATCATTTTTTTTTTTTTTGATCTTTTGTTACTTTTGTCACTTTTTTTTTTTTTAATAATTGTTTTCTTTTACTTCTCCAGGTTCCAGTTGGAGTGTATAAACATTTATCAGGAGCTGAAATCTCTGCAGAAAAAATCAGTGGGGAGGAAAAGAAATATGCCAAGTAAATTCTAAATCTTTACATGTACCTCATATTGCAAAAGTACTTGATTCAAAACATTTTATGTTTTAATATCTGACTCTGTACAATTGCCTCACTTTGATCTTCCCAGAAATGTGTGTACACCATATTATTAATTACTAGTAAAAACCAGAATTTATTTTTAAACATTTCAACACAAGCAAGGCAATAAAGCCACTAAGATTCAAGTGATTACTGAGTGTGAAAGAATATGAGAAAAAGACAAAAGATAACACTGTATTTAAATTTTTGAAAATCAAAGTTGACTAGAAATTAAGAAGGTGCAAGAGAATTCCATAAGCGAGAAGTGTGAGGGAAGAAACAGCATAGAACTGTTACATCCAGACATTTCAATTATAAAACAATGAGATCTATCAGTCAATCTAGTATTGTGCTGAAGTCTAGGTACTAATGAGGAAAGCTCATCAGAACAATTACCATGAAAATGTTTATAGAAAAGGCACAGGTAGGCAACATTACGGCAGTGGGAAAGTAACGGAAGCCAAGATGTAAGATCAGGACCAATGACATTGCCTGTTTCTTCTTTAGATTTTATCAAGAATCTCTAAATATATAACAGAAGAACCCGATCAGATTTAACAGTAATATTCGGTGCATGGATGAATGGTAGACATATAAATATATGAGATAGATTCTAGTTAGAAAAATTGACTGGCACGATACATTGAACAAACCTACCTAGAAGCAGACGTAGCAATTGATTCAATATAGTTTCTACATTTCATATCAGCAGAAAACATTAACCTGAGAAGGTACAACTAGTCAATCTCCAGGAGGTTAGCATCAAACATGTGAATGGAAAGCAAAAAAATGATTTCTCAGATGATTAAAAGAGAGCAGTTTTGCTTTGGAGACATTAAAATTAACAAGCTATTTCTTGCCTCCAATACACCACACACAAAAGATTTGGGGGAACCTTGCATTTCTTTAAAAATCACCTTAAAATGAGATATTTTTGTATTTTTTAAAGGTAAACGTTAAAATTACTATAACTACATTGTATTTGCTTTTATTTTAACAAAAAATAAGCACTTAACTATAAAAAAAATGATTATACAACAGCATCATATTTTGTTTTCATCAATAAAACCACCACCTGCCTTAACTTATCCTTTACAAATTATTGGCATTCTTTCCAACAGTTTTTGAAAAAAAAAAAAAAAAAGTAGGTGGCAGACCTTTCCCAAACATTCTTCAATCACTAAAAGAAGCTCACTCTTTGAGTATTCTTATCAAACTGTTCTATCCAATTCATCCCAGACTAATTTAATGGGAGAGTGGTTAGGAGATTGAGGCAGCCAATTCATAATTTCAAAAAAATTTTTTTCTCAAATCTGGAAAGATGAGTCTGGAAAAAGACTGTAAAATAAAAGCAAATACACTGTAGGTACTGAAATTTTATCTTTTACTTTAAAAAATACAAAAATACCTCCTTTTAAGGTGTTTTTTAAAGAAATGTACGGAGACCCCAAACTTTTTTTACCTGTAGTGTATATAAATATAAAATAGAATTTTAAAAAAATGTTCCCGTATTAGTTTTCCAGTTTCTATATTTTTTCATTGTTCAATTCTTATTTTTTAAGTTGTTATTGACTTGTGCTTGTAAATTCATTTCTTTTCTAGATGCATTGGCAGTTTGTACTTTCGGTTGGAAAAACTACGATTTTGGAGTGGTCAGCGTCCACAATCGCTGGCTGGATTTGAGAAAATACGAACCGTAGGCAAAGGTCAGGTTCACAAAACTGTACTATTATACTCTTTTGCCTATTCATACACACATCACTTTAGAGGTTTAACTTCTAGTCAGTGGCGTAGCTAAGGGGGGGGGCAGACCACCCCGGGTGCCAGCACAGGAGGGGTGACACAATGTCACTTTCAACAAAATTTTTCAACCAGGCTAAGGTGCCAAAAATAGTCTGAAAACAGGGGTGGAAACACAGGGTTTCACAGGCGGGCATATGACACCCCTCCAGAAATAATTTATGATCCCCCAGTTTTGTACCCCCGACAGAAGATTTCTAATAAATTGTCAGGAAATGTGTGAGTAGGAAAAATGGCAATGTTTTCAGCTTTCATGTGTTTCAGTTGCTACAATCTTGGTTACTAACAAGAGACATTGTTGTAACATTTTATCGGATGATATGGTGTTTTAACTCTGCATCATTAATAACAACAAAGCGAAATACGAAGCCAAAAGTGCAACAATTTCAGTCTTGCCTGTGTATCAATATGCTGAGATACAATTTTCCATTGAGTGAGCGATATACTTTTGAATATATCTACTAGTGTTGGGACGATTAATCGGAATCAAGAATCGGAAAAATCGGAACTTTTTGGGGTATCAGAAACGGTATCAGAATTGGAAAAATTTGTGCCTATTTTCCGATTCCAAAAACGATTCTTTTAAATTTTTAATTTAATTTTCCATTATTGGTACTAATGATAAATATTTATTGTTTTTAAATTATCACTGAAACTAAAATCATAATAACATCAAAATACGATGTAAATTTATTTTACTTGTATAAAGAAAAACAAAAAAATAAATTTTGCATAAATTCTACAGGTAACCTTTAAAAGAATGCAGTTGATTTCAATGTTCCGAAACATGCTTAAAAATTAAATAGAACATTTTTGTCAAGAAAAATACTTTCAAACATCATTGATAATTAAATGATACCCAGAAAATGATGCAACGGAAAATTGGACACTGGAAAATTAGCAACAGAAAATTACGTCAACCATGAGCCAGTCGAGACTGTTGGATCTGGCTGTGCTGTCCATTGAAAACGAGCTTACAAGACACAGATTTTGACGATGTCATTGACCAGTTTGCCACAATGAAAACATTAATTCTAAGACCATAGTATCGAATGTCATTCTTTTGTGTATTGCCGTGTTTTGTATTTAGTTGTTCTGAAAGTGAACAGTTCCATTTTAAAAATCTTTTGATTTGAACTGATTATTTTGTGGTATTGGATTTTGTCTTGGATCATACATGTAAACAGTAACGTACCGGTCAGTAGAGTAAAGTAGAGGTAGAGCATGTATGAAAATTTAGCTACAGCTAACCATTCAGCATAGGGTGCACCGGGGTCATTGGGGTGACATTTGAGCGGACTGCCCTGGGTGACGTTTACTCTAGCTACGCCACTGCTTCTAGTAATATTAAAATCTATCACATTTTCACCTAAGAGAAATACATTGGTTTCTGATAATGACAAGGAACCATTTAATCCATAAAAGTAACATTTACTTAGTTCCATTTTTCTTCAATACTCTCTCATATATATATATATATATATATATATATATATATATATATAATTATTTATTCAAAAATTATAACATAAATATGTTATAAAATCACTACAAAAATAGCCATTTTGTTTCAACACCTCCAGTGTCTTATCAAGTGATGATGTTGAATGTCAATATATATATATATGGTATGATTGGGTAGTAATTGTTCATTTAAACATGTTTTATTGATAGTAAGTCTACTTTTATGTCTACTAACTTTCTTCTTAAGTTGCAAAACTGGTGCTGTAGATGTACAAATTTATTTTTTGTAATATATCAATGTATTATCTTTTTTTTTTTTGTTGCTATTTCACTGTTTTGGTAATTGTAGTGCATTTGATTTCTATAGTATATGCTAACAGTATTATTATTATTATTATTGAACTTGAGAACAAAGGTTTATATTAAAATTATTATTGTGTAACAAAAGTTTAATTTAATTATCAACATTTGAATTAAGGAAACCATTATTAAAATGTGTTTGTTTTATGTTAATTGTTTAAGAAAAGATGTTTTAGATTAAGAGATTAATTTAGCTGTTTGGATTAAACTGTTTATGATGGCATATTTATATATTTCACAGCATTTTATAATTTAGAAGACAAGAATTAAAACTAGATGAATTTTTTTTATAAGATGAAATAATGCTAATTAAATTCTAACTCTGTTGACACATAATATTTGCTAAGTTATAGTGTATGAAATATAATAATGTACTGGAAATTAATTACATATTTCACGACTATGAATTATATATCAACAAATCAAGGCAGATCCAAGGTTTTGTATAGAACAAGATTTATCATCTCTTCTATTCAACAGCAGCTGTTGTTTATTGTGCATTTCAGAGTTTAATTGGGAAAAGTTACAAAGAAGGAATTTGGGTTTGTCATGAATTTTTGCTTGAACACGACATTCCACCATTTGTAGTTGTCCTTAACCTTTCATCTCTGCATCACATTGTTACAGGTGATGAAAAATGGTTTTTGCTTGTCAAGAGAAAATAAAAAAAGACAGTGGTTATCACAGAACAAGAAACCAATGCCAACACCAAAACTAGGACCCTCTCCACAGAAGTCCTTATTTTGTGTTTGGTAGAATATGAAAGATGTCATCCATTATGGGAACATGAAAAGACTATCAACTAAACGTCTGTTTATTGCCAGCAATTTGATTCAGTAGACAAAGCATGACATAAGTGTCTTGCCTTGATACAAAGAAAAGCATGAAAATGCTAAGCACAGTCTGCAAAACAAGCCCAAGAAAATATCCACCATTAGGAGAGGTGGTTCTTCTATGTCCTCCATATTCACCAGATTTAGCATCGTACAAATTTTCATTCATTTCTATCAATAGAACATTTCGTAACTGACAGAGCATTCCGAAAACGGTCATTCTTTTTTTTTTTACTTTTTCTGAAAAATCAAGATGTCTTTAAATGTGGAATCAAAAATTTGTTTTCTTTCATTTGCACCCTTCATAACACTCACAATAAGAAATTTAATGTTCTCTCTCCTCCACCCACCCACAAAAAAATTGTAGAGTTTAGAGGTCATGGTTAAATGTAAAATAAATGGCAGAACTGTCCAACAAACAGAATTGACAAAGTTTGCAATAACAAGAACAAGGAAAAAATAATATAAAGCAAACAAACAATATTTGCAAGGCAAATTAACAGTAATAAGGCAAAATGTTTACAAACTAAGAATTGGAGTTGACATGCAAGAGCAAATACAAATGAACAAACATAGCATTCCGACTTCAAGGCAAGACAGACTGGGACTGAGCCAGATGAGACCAAGAAACAGGCTTTTTTATTAGTTAGGAAGAAATCCCAGCATGCATTTGTGTGCTTCTGCCTATAAATTGGGGAGTGGGGAAGTATCTTGCAATTATTCACACTTTGATTGGAATGAACAGTTCCTTTTACTAGACTGCAATAATTAAAAAAATGAGGATGATTACATTTTTGGTAAATGATATTTCAATAAATTTAACTTAAAATGATAATTTGTCTTTTCTGGTAAAACGTAATTACTTTCCAAATGCCCTAAAATATGCAAATGTCACTACTATTATGGGATAGAAGTCGTAATTAATTATTTGTATATATTTGCTTGTTAGGAGCTTATGGAGCAGCCGTTTTGTACAGGAAGAAAGACGATGATTCTCTGGTGATTTTGAAAGAAATCAATATGCATGATTTAACAGCAGCTGAAAGACAAATGGCACTCAATGAGGTGAGTTGTAAAAATTGTGACCTTTTTATAATAGAAATATCTTTGTATGAAGAAGAAGATTTACTAAGTTTTAACAGAACTGACGTTTGTTTTGTTTTTTATGTGGAAGACTTGACCTTAGCTTTTGTGTACTTGGTGTACATCTGTTGAGATATTTTTATGGTTGGCCAAATAGAAAAACAAGTTATGCTGATATATCATAAATAATTTATTTATCATCATGCATTGTTTGCTTTTTAGCCTTTAAACAGATAAATACAAATTTAGTGTATGAATGAAAGTCGAATTGAAAATGTTTTTTCTGAATGTTGTCAGTTATCACTTGTTAGGCTCCTTTGATATTGTGTAGTATCAGATTTTTCCCTGACTTTGTTCTAAAGTGAAACCAAAAGAGCAAGACTGCTTGCTTCTCTTTTGCAGTGGATCAATTCGTGCCACTATGCCTTTAGAAATTCTTTTAAAAGATAGGCCTCCATAAATTGAACCTGTTATTTAATCTACAGTGTTAGATTGTAATTGTTATGCTGTCTATGACTAGGGATATCTCATCTTGTTTTAGGCCATATCATGTTGAAACATTGGTTCGCATACAATCACTAAAGTTAACTATATCCAGCCTAGTCAGCACCTAAATGGGTGACTGCTTGGTAATACCAGATGTAAGGTGGGATGTGCAAGTGGTTTAATGGATAATGACTTGAAATTAGAAATCAGACAGCTGAGTTTCAATTCTAACCATGTTCGTTATATTCACTTAGGTGCAAATACTCTAGGCTATGAATCTTCTTCTCCCCCATCTATGGGTTAATTAGTAGGACTTGTATTAGTAAATGATTATTACCTCCCCCCCCAATTCTTACAATATAAAAATAATTTCTAGCTTTAAATAACCCACAAAAATATCATAAACATGGAGCATGGTCAGTAATGGCTCTCCATAACTTCCTGCCTTTTGTAACTCCAAGCAATCTTGGCCTCCTTATCATCCCTCCCAGTGTCTACTGACCATTTACATTAATTCATTAGGTAAGTTATTTACCATTTTCCTCTGCCACTTTTACCTTCAGTATGACCTGTGAGTTTTAAATTCTCCAAGCCCACCTTCCTTATTGTGTAGTCCCTGGTATGGCAATAAACTACATTCAACAACCAGACCTTTGATTGGGAGAGTGGAGATTTTCAGGAGTGTGGAACCACCTCTTAATTGCTGCTGTTCCCAGGTCCACCCCCGGGGTGATAGCACCTGTTAGGGTCCCACCTATGGGCAAATAATGAACCCCCAAAACAAAAACAAAACAATATGAAAGTATAAAAATATGTTTTTATATTAAAAAATACCAGCAATTCCTTTTTATATAAAAAAAATTACCAACAATACATTTTATCTGTAGTCGAAGGCATAGATTTCAGTATTAAATAACCCATAGAGGTGTTGATATGCTGCAAAACAAAATCAACCCAACAAATAACATGAAAAAACTCTTTCAGGACATTAATCCATATAATCTCCTAAAATTCCATGCCAGCCTCCATTATGTCATCCCACACCAGCATCTTTGAAATAACCCTCATCCTTGGAGAGGAAGAAATAATTTCAGACATAATTCTTTGTATTTTTGTCTGTTTAGTATGCTAAAAGTAAATTGCTTGCGTATCTGTTTGATACAGGTAGATTTTATTAAATTTAAAACTTTATTATTAGGAAGATTTTTATGTTATAAAACTCTTAAATAAATAAATAAATAAATATATATTTATCATTTTAAACATTACTTTTAGTGGATACTTATATTTGAGTAGATACTCCATCTATTGATTAAACAGTATATTTATTTATTTTTATCTACTGGTCTGAATGTTCAAGAAATCTAATTAAAGAGAGAGATTTACTGTTAGACCCGACACACTCTAACCAACTGCGGAGAACCAGTCAGTTAAACACAGCAGAATTTGTGCCTTTAAGCGAAATTTCTCTTATGACAGCTCAGTTGATTAGAGGGTACCAGATCTAATGGTAGCTCCCTCTGCTCAGAGGGATGCAGATTCAAATCCAGCTGGAGAGTGCAAATGTTTCCATAATTAGTTTTCTTGAGCCTTCAGGCCCGTAGACTTTATACAGGATTTGATGGGTAAATTGTTACTATTTTATATTTTTAATTTTGTGCATACGCATTGTTTGTTTTTGATTTTGTCGACAGCACAGTATAATAGGGTCAGTTGGGCACCATCTGTGAGAAAAAGAGCACCATATTCACTCCACCAGAAATTTGGAAATGGCATGCTGTACTGCTTGGTATTTGTGCCAGAAGCTCCAATACAAACATTTCAGAGTGTTTGGGGGTCAAGAGTTGGATGAGTTTAATGGTGATTATGAAGGTGTTTGGAGTGATCACTGATGATGGTGACATTATACCTTTATTTATCTTCCTTGGGTCAAGAGAGAGGCTGCTGGAAAACCCTATGTCTGGCAACAGGACTCTGCACCATGCCATACAAGCAGGAGAACCCAATCATAGCTGTCAGAAAATTTCTGCAGCAACATCACCCCTTACATCTGGCCAGCTAACTCCCTTGATTATTATGTGTGAGGTGCAGCTGTTTGAGCAAAAGACCAACAAAACTCCTTGTAACATCAAAGATGAACTGAACAAGGAGTCCATTCAGAAGAGTTGCAGGAGATTCCAAAGTTGTCTGGAGGCTGTGCTTGAAGCCGATGATGATTTTATTGAATAAATTTACTCTTTAGTATTTCAAGATATTTTTGTGTAATTTTGGTAAATATATCTGTTAAAATGATATGTCAGTGTTATTTTCATTTTTGCATCATTTAGATGACAATTTATCCATCGCAACCAGTAGACCAATATCCAAATACTAACACTAGTGGTTATTAGCTGGTGATATAAATGAATAGTCAAACACTAAATGTTTAAAATGTATAGTTAACAGTAGTAGGTTATCATCAGTGAGTATAACAAAAGAACCTGTCTGAGCAAACATAATTTCATTACAATCTTGTATATCAGGTGAAATTACTGGCAATGTTGGATCACCCAAATATTATCAGCTATTATGACAGTTTTGAAGAAGATGGCATCCTGATGATTGAGATGGAATATGCTGATGGTGGGTGAGTATATGACTTTGAATGCAGCTTTATGGAATTTAAGGGTTGCATGTTGATGTATTGTAGGTGAGGCATATGTTCATCTGTAAACAATTAAAGAAACAGCATACAAAAATTTGGGTTTCTACTACGGAGTGTTTATTCTTTTTTTATAGTGGTGTAAAGAAATAAAATAAATGTCTTTTGGGTATGTCTGTTTTCTTTCTTCTGGTCTAGAAGTAAGTAAGGATAAGAATGGTTATAATGTGCTGAGTTGGAACAAGCAAAGTACTTCATAAATGGAGCTGAAAGACATGTCCAAACACTTGGTGTTGAAAAGTGGAAAGAGAAAGGTTCTGTCCTTTCCAGAAGTGGGATCATAAAATTGCTCAGATCACCAAAAACCCTTTCTGGCTCCTTGATTAATAGTATTGTAGAGGACCCGTTTGGTTTGCGTCTTCTTGTATTAGAAACACATGCTGTTTATTTCCTGCTAGAAGAAGGTCCAACTACAAGAACATGGCAGACTCAAGTTGAGTCTAACTGAAGATGTGAAGAAAACAAACAAGACAGATATATATATGTCAACAAATATATGTATTAAACAACATGATTTACAAGTGACAAAGACATTAACATTTGTGTTTCTGTGTGAACATAAGGAGTTTGTATATTGGTGAAAGTTTGTACATATGTGTAAGTGTGTTTCATGGCATTTTCCAACAAGTGGATGAAAATGCAGATCTCTAAGAAAGATCACATTTTTAAATGTGTCTGCTGAAATGCAAAATAAAAAAGAGAGAACGAGGTGATAAGTCACCCAGTATTGTTAGTGTAGGGAGAGCATGCCCTAGTGAACAATCAGGAAATTCAGGAGGAGTTAACTCCAACAGTATCATGGGAAAATGTCTTTTTTTTCTTTATTATTTTATTTATTGATTTTATCTAATTTAGCCACAAGCTCATTACTTTTTGAAAACACAGACACACGCACCATTCTCTTCTGTCTACATGTGTGTTTATTGTTGGCATATGTTTGTTTAACAAAAGTCATCTTCTTTATAAATTTTCTTTTTTAAGAATAATTTAAGCTTAAAGACTTCAGTAGTCAAAAAACAAAAAGCTTTTGTTTAATTAACAGATCCTCGTTTAAACAATGACTTTTCTGTAATCATCTAAAACTTCTCAGCTACAATTCCGATCTGTGACACACACATGCTAAACAAGTTTCTAATCTTGAGTCAAAACGACAATTGAAGCTAGCTGTTTATTTTTGAGTATGTGTATCTGCAATGGTGGCTAGCTAATCCTTGTTGCAGGTGCCTTCTCAGGTATATTTATGTTTCCTTAACACTCACAGATCCAACCTATGGTTTATACTGCAACTATACTAAGCACACCTTAGTTACAGTGCCTGGGGGAAAAAGGCACATAGTCTGACATGATCAACAGCTTCAAACAAGACCAGCACCACTGAAACCTTTAGTCACAATCACTTGTGACTTACAGCCACATCATGTTAAAATACCAGTTCCCATACAATCACCAAAGTTAAGCAACGTTGAGCCTGGTCAGTACCTAGATGGGTGACCACTTGGAAATACCAGGTGATGTAAGCTTTGATATGCGAGAGATTTAATGGATAATGAAGTGGAATTGTTAATCAGAAAGCTGAGTTCAAATTCCCATTGAGTTTGTTATATTCACATATGTGCAGATAGCCTTGGGAAAGGTATGAATCCACCTCTTCTCCCCAACTATGGGTTAATTACTAAAACTTATATCACTGAACCATTTTTATCTCAGAAAAAATTCTTGCAATCTAAAAATATTTTCTGACTTTAAACAACCTGCAAAAGGTTGATAAGCCATATATATATATATATATATATATATATGCACACACACACATACACATGTTGATAAAAAGCTAGAAATGTCATTGGTTGAATTATCTAAAATTTTTACTGTATAATGTGATTATTAAGTGTTGGATTATTTTGAAAAATAAATTTTTGTGTAGAATAAATGCTTCTTTCATCGTTCAGATGCAGATGTATTGATGCATCTTGATTTTATAAAAATTCAATGACAAAATCTATGTCACTCAAATCATTTTTTTTATCTCCCTTGAACATAAATAGTATAGATTCTTTTTTTCTTCTTTTTTTCCATAGGACTTTGGCCCAATTCCTTGCCAATCGTGATAAGGCTCTTGAAGAACGTGACATCTTGCTGATCTTCCAACACATTGTCTCTGCCATCAGGTACACTCATAAAGTCAAGATTCTACACAGGTAACTTTCCACATTCCACAATATCGACATATCTGCTTAACACCTTTTCATATGTTGTAGGATCTTTAATACATGTTTAAAATTTTATTAGGGAAGGGATTTCGCCATTTTATATCATTAACTTTACTAATTTACTTTTTGTATGAATGATTCATTGTAATATAAATTGAACTGCACCATATATTTGATTTAAAAGAACTGACCTGACGTGCAAATTTTCAGGATAACAACTGAGACATTACTCTATTTATTGAACAATTTAGTTCATGCCACATTGACTGATAAACTCCTACAACAAAAAAAATGGATGATTCATTGTAATATAAATTGAACTGCACCACATATTTGATATATATATATATATATGATCTCAATCATTTATCAGTGGCACCTCCTGGGATTGGGCTAGTTGGGTTGAGCCTGCATAATCCAAAGTGTGTCTGTTACAAAGCAACAAAAATCTCTTTGGATACTTCATTTGTCTTTGACTTCAGTTAAACCCAAAGTTGTGACATGAACCACCAAAAATAAAATAATCTTATATTATTGTAATTTACAACTTTTTATCATTTTCTTTTAACTACATCCTTTAAAATATTGATTTTAATAAATTTTTTATATGTTCATAAGAAGGAAAGTGATTAGGTATAAGGACATTGTCAGTAGGGCTGGGAATTGACTGATTTCTTGGGTTGGTTGGCTGAGGTTTACAGTCAGGAGATAGGTTTGGAGTGGATTACTCATTGGTAGGGTTTGATGTAAACCTTTCTTTTAAGGTTGAAATCAACATCTGTGAGATGCTTGATGCGCTGGCTGTCATGTGATGTCAAGATGTTGAAGCTGAACTGCTTAAGGTTGTTTGGTCAACTGAGGACACTGTAATGGGCTGATTCATTCTGACGTACATTAGCGGCAACGAGGGAGATTGAAAGTAGATATTTGAAGGTTGATCAAGCAGAATGTTCCTGTTGGATTCTGGTCAACTGGGGAATCAAAGAAATGGGGTTACAGTGGTGACAACAATAGAGCCCTGGTGTGGATAGTGAAGGTTTTATCAAGCAGGATATCTCTGAATTCTGGTTGCTGAGAGATCAACAAAAATGGATCACAATGGTGATGACAAGGGATGATCATTGTAGTGATGGCAATAGTACACCTATGTGCCAGCAGGTGACCTTTCAGCCTACAACTGTATTGGTCATTACAAGGGTCTTTCTTTTAAGTAAATCTGGTGGTCCCCAGGGTCAATTTTTTTTCAGATGGAATGTTAATGATTTGTTATTGTATTTTATTATGGGGACATGTTTTGTGAAGCGGATGTGGTGCTTCATAGATGACTTTTTTATTTTCTGTTTTGCTTTCTTGGTGTTCACATCTGGCTGACGTGTAGAGTGAATCAGAGAGCGATTGAATTGCAGTGGAGTATAACAGACATATACACAAATGCATTAAAAAAAGGTGTTTATATGGAATAATTGTGTATAATTTAGCTTCATTTTAAAGAAAATGATCTGACAGCTCTGACTTGACAAATAGCAGAAAGAAATTGACCCGAGAATTAAGTTTTTATACATGTTTTAGATTTTTTTCTAACTCAGGTGTCCAATTTCCATAATGAAAATTGGTGATACCTATATTTAGGAGAGATTTGAGTTAGATGCTAAAGTTCTTTTAAGAGCCTAAATTATACATATAGAAAGTTTTGTTAAAAATTGTAATGCGCCAGAACAGGCCTATCAGTTAGGAGTTTGAGTGGGAAAGTTGCATTCAAGTTAGGGGGTGTTTCTGTAAGTATTAGTTCACTAAAATCTGTTTGCATCATTTTCAGATAGAGGGATTGTAATTTTCTGGTGAGTAAGCACTGGGTCTGAAGCCAACTAACAATGGTGATATAGTCATTACTAAGATATATAATTAATGTAGAGAAACTTGTCACTTAAGTGAGTGGTGTCATTTCAGTCATGAAGACTTTGAATTTAATGCCTTCACTCTTCAGGGCTATTGAACAGAGAGAAGACAACAGTCCTGATGAAGTGCAACAATGCACCCACAAAACTTCAAAGTTTACATAACTGAAATAGCATCACTCAATTAAGTAACAAGTTTCTCCACATTAATTTTATTAACACTCTATCCTTACCTCTTGATATCAAGACAAAAACCTGTTTGCCTAAATTGCCTTTCTACCAGTAAACTATGGGAAAAACAATAATAACACTCTCACAATTTAATACTCTCTCTCTAGACCACTTTAAGGTACCATTATAATAATTTATTTCACCAGAGTCCTTTTAAAGGATGCCGGATCATCAGATAGTACTTCCAAAAATCATATATATATATATATATATATATATATTAGCAGATCACTAAACTAAAAGATTTACTTTCAGTTAAATTAACATTTGACAGAAATTGTAGACAGCTTATTTAATGTATCTGTTTGTAAAAACAAAAACATTGCAGAGATTTGAAAACCGCAAACATCTTCCTGACAAAAGAAGGAGTTGCCAAAGTTGGTGATTTTGGGATTGCCAAGCTCCTGAGTACATCACACAAGGGTGCAAGTACCGTGTTGGGTACTCCTTATTATATTAGTCCAGAAATGGTGAGTATCAGTGAGTATGAAGATTTATTACAGTAAAACTCATCTTGTCAATTCTATAAACCTGACTCCTATTTGTCATAAAAGATTTTTATATTGAATACTAGCAGGGATACCCTGCATTTCTTGGAAGAAATAACTTCATCTTAGGTTTTGTTGCTATGTTGAAATTCAATAACATGTTGATTCTGGGTCTTGATAATCAATCTGATGCCAATGCAAAATTTAGGGATTTAGATTTCTCAAGAATGACTGGAGATTTCCCTTTTTCTGAATAAGGTTGTGAAGCGTCATACCAAATGGCTGGAGGAAATTATGTATATTTTTTTTTAAACAGAAAATAATTATAGGATGAACATTCCACTATTTATTAAAGTAAATATATTGTCTATGTATTTTATCAAATTAACATCAGTAATTATTTTTTCTTTAAATAAGAAAATAATTACTTCATTTAAATTAATTTATTTGGTTTCATAGTGATTTTTTAAAAAGGTATTTTATGCTTAAATTGGTTTTCTCAGTAAAGTAAAAAAAAGTAAAGATGAAAAAGTATTGTTAATTCAAAAATCTATCTATCTATCTATCTATCTATCTATCTATCTGTACCTCCATGAGATCACTAAAAAAAGAGCATAGCATGATGAAAAAGATGCCAAACTTGACAAAAACAAAATTTTATCATCTAAATGTTTGTTATTATTAAGAGGAAAGAACAAAGTATTTTTTAATCATTTTTTAAAACATTTCATTCTTTTTAAAACATTCTAACTTTTGATTTAAAAAAGACCTTGTTTCTCTTTGTATCAATGGAACTACTAAATAACATATACAATCTTTAGCATGTTTTTCTTGTATGACAGACATTTATTTGGAAAATCTTGCAAAAATAAAAATAATTATCAGATGTTAATGAAACTTTCAGAAATTATTCACAAATGATAGAAATTATTATAAATATGTTTTCTTTTTTTAAAGTCCTGGCAAAAATATTTTTTTTTATAATTATTACCCCCCCACCCCCAAAAAAAACTAATTTTATGAAACCTCTAGAAATTCAACATTGTTCAGTTTAGTGATTATATTAGTTAAAAGCATAAGGCTTCAAGAAAAGCAAATCATATATTTTTTTTTATTGCCCCCCGCCCCTGAAAATCAGCTCTGAATTGTAACATACAAAATTCAATAAAACAAAGATATTATTTAATTTCAAATGCTTTTAGTTGCTTTTATAAATATGAACAATATTTTTTGAAAGCAAAAACTTTTTCAAAGAAAAATGAATTTTTAATGCAATTATTTCTTATTTTTTTAATTATTTTAGATTTTTACATTTAAGTTCTTAAAATATTATAAAATTAGTGAAAATGGCATTCACTTTTGTAAATGGTGTTATGAGATATTTTTTTACAGCATTGCAAATTGTATTGCTTTGACCAATCAGAAAACCTGCACTAATTAAGAAATGTAATGTTGTGTTGATAAAACAGCTGTAATTAAAAAGTACGGAAGATCAAAAGCAATAAAACATCACATAGATTGAGTGAAGTATTTAAACATTTTCCACTGAACGTCCATTTCATTATTGCAAATTCTTCAAAACACATGTTGAGCATTTTGAATTAGCGTTTTTACTAAATAAAAAAAATTTTGAACAACATCCTAAGCCAGCTATCTCGGGGATCATTGTGAATTCAAACTATGTGCTACATAAACCTATGTCATTTCATGTAAAGATTTTCATGTTATTTGTGACCATATTACAAATTTCCAGTATTCCCTCTCAGTCCTCAGTCCATTCTGCCTGCAGCTTATAATCATTCCTTAAGTGTTGTTGTCATCATCCGGGTCAAAAGGTGTTAAAAAACACATCAAGCCATTATTCAAACATAAGTTTGAGGAAGAAGAAAAAAACAGGTATCAAGTCCCCTCCTTACCAATGTTTCCCCTCTTTTTCACACTCTTTGCTTTTATATTGTAAGTGGTGGGATTTATTACAAGTTGATAACCGGCTTGTTATTGCTGGCTGGCTAGCCTTTGACCCAGCCATATCAAAGTCAATTTTGGCTTAATTTGAATACTTTTTTTTCCTTATCACTGACATTTTTTGAAAAAAATAAAAATAAAAAAAATTTTGAGTCATTTATACCAGCCAGTTTTACTTTTAAATGAAAGAACATATTGTTTGCTTTGAGAAAACATCCGGTTTCATGGGGGTTCAGATCAAGTTTCCTTGATATTTTATTCAGATGATGAAAAAAACAATCATTTTTCAATATTTTACCTTCTTTTACCACTACCAAAGTATGAAAATTCCTTTTTTTCAGAGAAAATAGGCTATAACAAAATGACTAATAACTATTTTTGTGATAGTTTTTACTTGGGATAGAAATTTTTTTTACCATAGCAGATCTGAATTGACTTTATTTAAGTTTAGTGGGGAGCTATAGGGGCCCTCAAACAGCTGTACAGCACTTGTATTTTAATTTTTTTATAGTATTTATAATTTCTCCAGAGAGTATAAACAAACTTATGTTGAAAGCTACAGTACTAAAAAAACAAAAATTGGAATGCTGAAAGTTTTTTTTACTTTAATAATTATGAGGTACTACATAAGCTGGTTCATTTAAAAAAAAAGATTACGTCAATTCTGTCCTTCCGTATGATAACTCGAATTTCACATTAGCTGTCAATACATGATGAATACCATCACTTGTCAATTGCCAAGAATGTTAAGATCAGCTACCTCTTATTTTAAACAACATTTTTCTGCTAAGAAAGTATATAAAATTTCCTTTCAAAATATATTAAGTAAACTTTAAATTTTCTTCAAATAAATTTTGAAAACATATAATTGATTTTTGGACAATATTTAAATGAGGAATTTAATTTAGTTTACAAAAAACAAAAAAAATGGCTGATAACAAGTTTTTATTTTAATTTCGCTGACAAAAAACGATTTTTAACTAAAACTTTGGACATGCTAAGAATGAGTAAAAAAATTCAAAAAATACTTTGGTATTTCTTCTTAATAATGAAATATATATTTAAAATGATAAAAAAGTTTTTCAAGTTTCAGGCCATTCTTGTCATGCTATGCTCTTTTTTATCAATTTTCATGGAGGTACCTAAATATATAAAATAAAATAAAAATGGTAATCTATATGGAATTTCCAAGTGGATAAAGATCCAAGGAGAGCTCTATGTCTGAGAAAGAGCAAAATTATTAATTAAAGAATATCAAACACTTAAAATACCATAATAATATCATTATTTCATGAAAGTTATAAAAATAGCTTTCAATCTTTTCAGACCTACAAACCAAATATAAATGGAAAAAATTACTCTAGGTTAAGTTCAAGATATTCAGGAAGAGGGAGAAGGAGAAAAAAAAGGAAATATTCAAATTTATGAAGATGTAATGGTGGCAGAGGGATGGAAAAGAGGAAGAAGACCTGAAGTTTTATTCTCAATAGACTTTATGGTTTGAAGTGAGCTGATTTAATATGACATTACACAACAATTGATTTAGTTCTGAATATTTTTTAAAATGTCTTTAACCAAACACTATTTTTAAGACAAATTTATAAAAGTTTGTTAAATTGAATATATATATATCACATGTCAGAATCTTAGCCAATAAGTGACACAGACAGTGTTTCTTAACTCCCATTGACTTAACAATATTTTCATTCAACCTCTAAATCAAAATGGAGTGGTCATCAGGTTATCGCAGAATGTGACTTAGTCATCAAACATGGCACTGACTGATGGTATGGAGGATGCTCATTTTGCCAGTCTCCCTCATTGGACACAAGATCAAACCAGTGCAGCCCCTCGATAGTCCTGAGGGCACAGGACTTGAACGTAACAGGAATTAAAATTCTGGTCACCCTTTTGATTTCTTATTCTAAGCCACTACCCATTACGCCACTCAACAGATTCACATTTGTCTGTCTCTATCTCTGAGATGAGGTATTATGGTTATTTACATTATTCGGACTGTTATCCTCATCTTCGTTGCCATATTCACAATGTTTCGGCTGTTGTACGCTCTGGCCTTCTTCAGGTGATTAGAATATCAAACCGAACCTTTTATTTCATCCACTGGGGTAGATTCCATGTGCCATGCCTCTTTTGAATGTCTCAGTTATTTTCCTTTAACTCAACTTTCCAAGTTTTTGTTCACCACTGCTATAGCTTGGTATTGAACTCATAACTGTTTAGGTCTGGTCACTGGATCTAACTGATCCTTTATCCCCTGGGCAATGTGTCCTTGAAGATACATGGCCCAGTGAAGAAGGCTGGAGCGTACAACAGCTAAAACATTGTGAATATGGCAATGAAGATGAGGATAACAGTCCAAATAATGTAAATAGATCTACATTTATTTATAATTTTCGGTAATGATTTTACAAAATGGCAAACACTTGATATCCTTAATGCTCAAAGATTTTATAAAAGAATTCTTTGTAAAATATTTTTTATTTCTATTTTACTGTTCTTCTCAACTCCGTTTTCTTATTTATACAATAGAAAGGGTGTTACTCTGGTTGCAGAGAAACGATGCCACATTGTGCATGATTAAATACATGTGTTATAGCAAGTATATTCCAATAATACCATTAAATGGTATTAATAGCTTGTTCGAATGGAATCACATTATTGAATTTATAAGAACTAATGGACTCATCAAACATACTACAGATATGTATATAGATGTTGTTTTATAAAAGTAGAATCTTTTTTTTTTAATAGTGTGAGAGTAAACCTTATGATGAGAAGTCAGATATCTGGGCCTTGGGATGTATTCTGTACGAAATGGCATGTCGCCAAAAGACGTTTGAGGGTTCCAACTTGCCAGCACTTGTCAACAAAATCATGAAGGTAATATTTTTCTCTTTTTATTGTATTTTGTATTTTAAAATCTAGATATATTTTGGGTGAGAAATGTTGTAAGCACGTTCAAGGAAGTACAAAATGGAGGTCTGAAAGAACAAAAAGAAAACATAACTAAGCTGACTATTTTTTAATACCACTGACATCAAAATGATTGTGTATGTGTTTGTGATAAAAGTAGGAAAAAGGCAAATCATCAAAATTGTTTCCTACCTTGTCATGTCATGTTTGAATTTCAGTGTGCATATCTGTAAGAGAGCATTTTTTGAATTCAGTGTTTAGTAACCCTCATTTCAATTTCAAACATTTTCTTGAATTTCATTGGTTGTTAAATAAAAAAAATAAGCTTTGAGAAATTTCCATAACAAAATAGTCAAAATTTGTGCAAAAATAGGTTCAACTGACATAAAAAATCTTTCTAAAATTCATCCCTAATTTTAATCCTTTTGGTTAAAAAAATAAAAAATACAACATTCGTCTATGCATTGCTCGGAAAAATTTGCAACAGCTACCAGGCCCCGTTGGAGCCAATTTCATTGTTAAGAAAACTATAAATAGAAACAGTAAACGAATTTTCATTGCATTTGAGACTCACACACACGAAAGATACACAGAAATTATGTGCCACCAAAGAAACAAACTTCCTTTATGAGAGATTAGAAAAATTTACACAAACTTTTTCACTCAATATCTTTCATAGAAAAATCTTTTGTCTAAGTTAAATTCAACCTTTTTAGTCAAAGGCAGACAACTTTTTAGACATTGAATATTTCCGAAACAGCAAAGAACTTTTTCTATAAAATATACCTTTGCACACATCATTACAAAGAAATTGTAAATTGTGTATATAAAAGTAAATCTGTTGTTTCAAACAAGTATTTTTTGTCGTGATTAAATATTGTTACCATTTGGCCATTTCTTATAATTTGTTTGTGGATATTGCATATTTTATTTGCAGCACAATTTTAAATATTCACGCAACCTTCTTAGATCCACTACAAATGCTTTTTTTATATTAATATGTCTTGGAAAAATAACACCATACTTTTACTACTCCTGTTTATGCCTGTGTGTGTATATATATATATATATATATATATATATATATATATATATAGAGAGAAAGAGAGAACAATACATAAATTTTATATATCAAGAACAAATGTATGGGGAAAATGTATGACAAATTAAAATAAGTGTGTGATGTGTTTCATCCTTTACGACTTCATTTGACCAACATAACAAATTTAGTCTGATGAAGTCATAAAGGACAAAATGTGACAAAGTGGAAAAAGTTTTATGTGACACATTTTGTTCTTTAGGACTTCATCAGACTAAATTTGTTATAGAGATTTGAAGCAACAGGAATGTGGTTCTACAGAAGGATGCTGAGAATACCATGGCCTGAACATGTGAGAAATGCCCAAGTTTTAGAGAAAATGGAAACAAAAAGGTCTCTTATGCTTAACATCAAGAAGAGATAGTTGGGATTTCTAGGGCACATAAATGAGGAAAGAGGGCTTGGAAAGTTTGATACTCATAGGACATATTGAAGGCACAGAGGAAACTGACTCATAACCTACCTAATGAGAAGACAAAATTTATTAACAGCTACAAAGGACAGGAAATTGTGAAGAGCCATGATTGCTAGCATTCTAATGGGACGCAGCCCATCGAAGAAGTGATGTTTTATATACAAACCTTAAATTTTCTTATTAATCAAAACCTTTTTTCCTGCTTACATTATATCTATTTTATTTCCTCAGGGTCAATTTGCTCCCGTCAAGGGTGACTACAGTCAAGAACTAAAAGATCTTATTACTTCCATGTTACGACAGAACCCAGATGAACGGCCATCTGCACATCATCTACTTGAAAATGTGTTGCCACAAGTGAGTTAAATATTAAAAATAATTATTGTTAACATAAACGAGCAAGATTTACTGGCAAGCAATAAAAAGAGGTTCTTTTTAGGATCCCGGGTCACATGTCTCATATTGGTGTCCTGAGTTTCCCCCTCCTACCGTTGCTCCTGCTTACCATCCCATGTTCTTTTATTATTAAATAAAAACACGAAAAAAAAAAGAAACTTAATGAGATCCCTTTTAGTCTGTTGAAGTCTTAAACGATGAGATGTGTCACACAAAAACTTTTCCCCTGGAACATATATGGTGATAAATGATAAACTACAACTGGCAACAAGGCCTCTGATCATGAGGTTTGGGGAGAATGGAGCCACCTCAATTGTTTTTGTTCAAAGGCCCACTCTGACCTGGAGTGGTAGCACCTGTTAGGGTCTCAGTTGTGACCAAATAGCTAACCTCTAAACTCTGGTTAAACATAAAGAAAGTAAAAAAAAAAAAAAAATACATTTTTATAGTGAAAATACCAGATCTACATTTATTTTGTTAAAAAAAAAAATTACCATTAATAAGTTTTTGTAAAGAAAATTACTACTACTCCCAAGAAAATTAAATTTCAACATTAAATGACCCATAAGGAGTTGATATGCCACTAAGCAAACAAATAATATAAATAAGACTGACTGAGTAAAGTCAAATAATTCTGTTTTTTCTCTTTCTTCCTCATAATGGTTCTTGAATTTATTGCATGATATGTGTATGAAAATCTACCGATAATTATGGAGATAATATTTAGATTTCATGAACCTTCCACTTTGGAAGTGTCAACAATTAAAGAAGTGAATATTTTTGCCTGATATTATGTCACTTTGGTTTCATGACAAATTTAGTATAACTCGAGTGATCTCCCTTGAGTTATTAAACGAAATTTGTCTTTGCAACAATTTCAGTTCAAACCAAACACACCACTTGATGAAGACGATGCTAGTTTCATTATTGGAAGATGTTTTTATAGTAAAAAATACAAAACTGTCTTCATTGCCATAAAAACTAACCAAGTAAATAATATTATCAATTAAATTCTTTACTAATAAAATGAATGTTGAGAACTCCATGGACAAAGCATGTGAACAATGAGGAAGTTTTAAGGAAAAAATCCTTAGAATCAGAAAGAGACAGTTGAAATTTTTGGGGTACATAATGAGGAAAGAGGGTTTTGTGAATTTGACACTCATAGGACAAAAGCTGTGGTAAAGTGGCAAAAAGTTACTTTGACCAGCAAGGCAGGAAATTGAAGAAAGTCTTTGACTGCCCATGAAAGGACACAACACATAATTGTGATTCTATGAAAGGATGCTAAAAATACCACTAGCGAAACATGTGATCAATGAGGAAGTGTTTAAAACAAAACAAGTCAGAAAAAGAACAACTGTTATTACAATCAGAAAGTGAGAGTAGAAATTTCTTGGAGACATAATGAGGAAAGAGGGCATGGAGAATTTAACGTTCACAGGACATGTTGAAGGTAAGAAGGGAAAGACAGTGAAAATGATAACAAAGTAGAGGTAGATGGTAGAGGGGTAAAAGTTATTTTGAACGGCAAAACAAGCAGTGAGCCATGAATGCCCACATCCTGAAAGTATGTGACCTGTAAAAGAAGAATAAAAGAATTTGGAAATTCTATTTATTTGAAACTAATTTTTTGAAATATATTTCTCAAATACTTTGGCACACATCATCAGTGATTTTTTTTTTTTTTTTTTTGAAACTGAGGATCATTAGGGGGGTATCAAGTCTTACAACATCCTAGCCGTTCCCATGGCAACTTAGTAGACCTAGATCAGTTTATGTAAACAATGATAGGATTTTTTAAAAATGCACTGAAGGCATCATTCACTCTTGGGCAAGATAGCCTGATGGAGACCAGCTTTCACCAAGCTCATTCAAATTCAGCATCTTCCTTCTCCTAAACTAGTTGCCAACCAAAGCTATACAACCCGGTCTGTTCTGCTATTTATTCCATAGCTGCGAGAGAAGAGTTGGATTTATACCTTTCCCAAGGGTATTTGTGTGCAAGTAAATGTAATGAACTCAACTGGAATTCAAACTCTGATCTTCAATTTCTCATTCTAACCTGTTAGTCAATACACCATCTGCACATCCGTGATTACATCCTAGAGCAAAATTACTAAAACAATTATAGTCACAGTTGTACTAAATCAGTATATGTTGACAAAGATTTGTTTTTCTTATCTTGTAAATCCTTATCTGCTTGTATTCAATACACTGATGCCTTTGCTCTGTCCTGTCTGTAGATATTTGGAAAAAGGTCTTATTACTGGTATGTCATGATCATTCTGGATTAGTTGATTGTTTCAGGGTTTATCAACAACTCTATGGGTTATTTAATGCCAAAATCTAAATATTTTGAATGCCATTGTATACCTTTTAACTACAGATAAAATGTATTGTTAGTCATTTTGCTATAAAATTTATTGTTGGTAATTCTACTATGAAATAGGTATTGTTAGTAATCTTGATTTGAATCTACAGTAGAAATGACTTCAAAATACTTTCCCTCCCCAATTTATAGGCAGAAGTACAGAAATGCATGCTGGGATTTCTTCTGAGCCAATTAGCCAGTTCTTGGTTTCATCTGACTCAGTCCCAGTCTGTTTTGCCTTGAAGTCAGACTCCTGTGTTTGTTCATCTGAATTTGCTTTTGTGTGTCAATCCCAGTTCTCAAATTGTGACCTTTTTGTCACATTAGGGTTGTTTTTCCTTATTAGATGAGTTGCCTTTTGCATACATTGTTTGCCTGCTTTCTATTTTTTGCCTCATTCTTTTAATTGTTTATTGCAAGTTTTGTCAAATCTGTTTGTTCAGCAGTTCTGTTATTTATTTATTTAGATTAAATGATGACCATTTACTCTACAATAATTTTACTATATAATAGGTATTGTTGGAAATTTTACTATAGAATAGGTATTGGTAATTTTTTTATATAAAAATATATTTTTATTATAAATATGTATTTTTATACTTTTATAGTGTTGTTTTTGTTTTGGGGTTCACTATTTGCCCATAGCTAAGACCCTAACAGGTGCTACCACTCTGACTCAGAGTGGACCTGGGAAAAACGGCAATAAAGAGATGGTTCTACGCTCCTCAAAACTTCCAATCTCCCAATCGGGGTCTTTGTCGTCGGATGTAGTTTATCATCATGGGTATGGTTCGATCATCATGCAGTCCTGGGTAGGACTTCATGATGATCGAACACTTGAGCAAAGAATTTTCTCATGACTAAATTACCATCCTAGGCAATATCGGCAATCATAGCCATTTTCCTTCAGTCATAACAAGAAACAAATAAGATTGTTTTTAATATCAAAAATACAATCTGATTCTTTTTGATTTTTTTTAGCTCCTAAGTCATTATGAGTCTACAACTACTGATCTTGAGGATGACATCTGCAGTTCTCTAGAGAATGTGAGCAAAAAAAGGATGAGGTAAGCCATTGCAAATATCAGAAATTAGGGCAGGGGTCAGCAAACTGTGGGCCAAACCTATATCTATGCTGATGACATGTCTATTTACTCCTGTCTTCATGGTAAGTCTGATCAGTTTCATAAGGTGAAATTGTCAGCTGATCTAAAAAAAAAAAAAAGACCTATAATCTGTTGTTAACTGGGGCAAGGAATGGCTTGTTAATTTTAACACCTCCAAGGTGAAACTGCTCTCTGTCAATCATCTTACAGAACCTTTTTTGCCTCCCATCAGCATGAATGATGCTAACCTCCAGGAGAGTGACCTCAGGCTAAACTTTTCTGTTGATATAAAGTGGAAAGATTATAATGAATCAGCTGCTAGGAAAGTTGGTTCAGTGTGTCTTGCTAGACAATTTTTCTCACCAGAATCTATGTTATACATTTATAAGTCTACCATTCACCCTTGCTTTCAATATTGCTACTACATCTGGTCTGGATTTCCTGTTATGTATTTAGAAATTCTTAATAAAATTCAAAGAAAAATCTGCAATGTTATTCGTCCTGACCTGGCATCTTGGCTTCAGTCACTTTCCCACTTCCATAATGTAGTTTCCCTGTGCCTTTTCTATATGCATTTTTTTTTTTTTTGATAATTGTTCTGCTAAGATTTCACATTTGGTACCTAGACTTTATGGATTTAAGTGCAGTACTAGATTGGTGGCAAGGTTTCACCATTTTACAGTTGAAATGGCGAGATGCAATGCTAAGTTCTACGTTAACAGTTTCTTTTCTCTTACTTTTCACTCTCTTCTTGCCTTCAAATTTGTTCTTCAAAAATTTAAATTCAATGTCAATCATTATCTTCTGCCTTTGTAATACCTGTTCTTTTATTGTCCTCTCTCATTAATCATGTTTTCCTTTTACTCATATTCTTTCACTCTTCATAACCACATCTTAGTGGCTTTATTGCCTTTCTTGGGGGTGAAAGGATTAAAAAAATATCTGGCCAGCTATAGCATTTCATCCAGACTGCAGACCATCTAAAAGATGCTATTATTATTATTATTAAAGAATAATTTTTTATATTATTTTTTTTACCAATATTCTTACACATGCAATTATTCACAAACTTACTTTTCTTTGTGTATTATTCAAGACTTGACATCATGTGCCCAATTAACTTGTAATCTAATGAAATATTGAAAAACAATCAGGAAAAGTTGTGGAGCAAAGACAGAAATAAACATCAAGACAGTTTAAACACCAGATGTTCAAAAAATGGTTTCTAGGTCAGACGATTGTGCATTGTTCTGGTTAAAAATTGAATGTTTTGAAAATGCCTTTAACATGCACATGATCCATATGAACACAGGCCCATCACTCTTTTTCTTTAGACCATGAATCTATTTTAGTTTGCCAAAAATTTTTATTTCCATACATTTTCTACATATTTTTCTACATCACATGAATACCGAAGCCAGCACACTTTTAATTTTAATTGCATTGCTGTTATCCCACAAAGAACATCATCATGTACACTTTTTATTACATCTTTTCTTAATCACACTGGTCATATTAAAACATCTCCATTGCATATAAGACCCATCTTTATAGTTAACTTGTGCCTTATCTCTTTATAGGGTCTCTCTGCCCCAGAACAATCACTCCATTTGTTTCTTTTTATTCTACATGCAATCTTGCTTAATACCGGCTCCTATAAGGTTTCAAATGCAAGACAATCTAACTGTCATACATCTGTTTCACTCTAGTGCAATATTTTATCTTCTGAATTGTCTGATCTTTCTAAGGGTTCATTGTTCAACTTTAATCTTGATAGAGCTTCTACATATTGAATAGTGTTTTCTTTCACATATTTGGTGTCAAAATCAAAGGATATAAGCTTTATGGCCCATCTTAAAATTCTGGATGTGATTTTGGGTAACTCCTTCCTGGGGTTAAAAATAAACTCAGTTTATGGTAAGATCTAAGCAGAAAATTCCTGGCTAAAAAAAAAATTAGTCACTCTATCTACAGTCTATAAAATAGCTAATACTTCTTTTTCAATATTTGAATAATTAGCCATGGCTGATTTCCCACTTCTAGAAAGGAACATTATAGGATGACCTTCTTAAGACAAAATCGCTGATATGTCACGCTCATTTGCATCCGTAGTTAAAGTCACCTCTTTTTTAGAGTTAAAAATCCTTACAGTGAGTTTTCTTTCTTTAAATTGTTGAATGCTGCAGTCTGCCACTGAGTCTATGTAATCTTGTTTTTTCATAATTCCACAAAGGGTTCTCTCAATTCACTATACTTTGGCAAATATCTGTTGTAAAAATTGGCTAACTCTAAAAAAAAAGATTCCAGTTCTTTTTTTTTTTATTTGTATATGTAGATGCCTCTGCTATTTTATTTATCAAATTTGTGTCTGGTAAATTTAATTAAGGGTGGAGCTGAAGTTTGCTCTGAAAATTCATTGTAAATTGATCCTCTTATGCAAATCAAAGACAAAAACATTCATACAACATGATTTCTTAAAATATAAAAATATTACAAATGTTTTGAAATTCATAATCAGGGATGCTTAATCAATATTAAAATATGAAGGAAATCCTCTGCATTTTAATGTTTTTTGCATTTTAAGAAATTCCATGTTATATTTTGTTTTGGCTTTCATCAGGCAATCAATTTACAATGAATTTACAGAATAAACTGGAGATCCCTATTAGCATTGTATAAAATTTAAATAAAAAAAAATATAATTGTAATATGCAATGCTTTATCTATAGTTATCTGAAAAAAGATTTTGAAAAAAAATGATTATTTTGGGTCAAAGTCCCTATTGTACAACTTTACTGTTGCTTAAAATTAAACAAAAAATCATTTAATCCAGTCACATTCCTCTTGATTTTGACTAGATTTTTATCTATCTTCTATCTAAATAAATAAACAATCAATTCTGTCTGTTCATCCATGTGTCTGAAATTTCTCTAACTCAGGCCACACTTGCTCTACATAGACATATTATACGTTTCTGGAATCAGAAGGATAACAAGATTGAAAATCTGCCATTCATCTGATGCATGAATATTCATCTTAGGGATTTGTGCCCAGATGAGTAAAGAACAGTTAAAAATTCAAATTTTAAAATAACTGAAAAAAATTAGTGATTTTAAAAGTTTTATTTATATTGAGTTTAAAATAACATAAAAATTTTGTGAATTTAAAAAATAATTATTTTAAATTCAGTTTAAAAATATCTCCAAAATTTTTGTATTGAAGACATTAATTTTATTTTTTTCAAAATGCCAAGGAATCAGAGTTAAAGTGAGAGATTTCATGACGTGAAGTTTTGAATTTCCACAGAGTTTGAGATCTAAAGAACTCAATTGAGGTTCCATGGAGTTTGTGGTTTAAACAACTCCATTTTTGGCTTGAATTGGAATTTCGATTTTGACCCATATTGGAGTTTCAGCCCAAACCAGTCTTTTGACTGGAATTGGATTTATGGCCCGAACCAGAGTTAAAGTGAGATTTTGAAGTTCCATGAAGTGAATTGAGGAATTCGGTGTTATTTCTTCAAAATTATCATTGATTGCTGTTTTGTAAGCTGGACCAGAGTCTCCCTTTTAGTTTTGGCTCGGAGGCCCAATTAGTCCTATGCAGGAGCTAGCTTAAAAGTCTGCATGATGTGTGACTTTTAAGCTAATCTATGATAATAGTGAATTCTCATTGTAAGTAATGTTATTTATCAACCATCCAAATTCTGATTGTGTTATAGTAAAGTAGTTATCAAGGGTAGAAAACAAAGGGTAGTAACTTAAGTACTTAACAAAAATGTTAATTATTAATTTAATAATTATATTTCATTTTTTAATCATAGTTTTGTGAAAAAAAATATTTGAATGGAAATTCTCATTTTTGGTTAAATTGCCAAATGTACCCTGGCTGGTAGCTCAGCTACATTTTGTCAAAAATTGGTCTTTGTGATTTTTGCAAAGCATTTCTCTATAAATTTTGTATTCATTTTAAAAAAAGAAAAATGTCTTTTCTGTCAGGAAAGAAATAAGTTTTTCTCAGATTGATGTTTTTCTATAGTAAATGAATTTAACTTTTTTTTTTCTTTTTTTTTTAATTGCACTTGACAAATTTTCCTCCCCCTTTTGTTAAAGCTCCCCGATGACTGAGAAGAGGTACTAAATTTTCATGAAACTAGTTGATCTTTTTTTAACTCCTATTTATAATAATTTTATTTATTTAATTTTTTTTCCATTTTTTTTTTTTTTTTTTTTTTTTTTTTTTTTTTTTTTTTTTTTTTAATGCATTGCACAAATTTCTGTCACTTGTTATTTCTGAAATTAGATGTGAAAGGCTTTCAGGTGCTGCACTTTTTAATTTTCTTAATTCTTGTTATTTACCAAAGCTTAACTTCTTAAATATCAGAAACAGACTTGAATGTGGAGTGGTAAAGAGAAGATTGACAAGGTAAAAAAAAAAAAAAATGGATGGAATTTCCTTCCTTGAAAATCACTCTTTGAAATCCTGTCTTTTTATTTTGGTTTAAATAGCAAGACAAAGAAACACACAACTACCTTGACCATCGAACAAACTGCAGTTTTCTGAATACTTCTCTCTGTACAAAATCAGTTTTGCTATTATTTAACCTAGTAATGTCTTCCATCATGTTAATTATTGATTTCTTTAAGAAAACCAGCAGTGACTGATCTGTTCTTCAACATCTTTCAGGTGTTTAATCTGTTAGGTAAAAAAGGGGCCGCCATTCACAGAAATGGGGACAGATATACAGACCAAGTTAGCCGTGTAAGTGAGTTCATTCACTGCAACCTGTGTAACATGAGCGATTACATATTTTTCTCTATAGATTTTCTCCAGTTTCTTCCACAACTGAGACACACTGCACCTCAGCTTAGGCATCTGTCTGATAAATGAATAATATGCTGCTACTTTCATTTTTCTCACACTTTAGTGTTCTTTCCCCAATCTGTTATCAGCCCAGAGAGGGGGTAAATGTGAACCCATTACCTACCATATATGGTCTACCATGCCTGATTTTTCTGGAAACAGTTTCTTCAATGTTTATTTTCAGCAGACAATTACTTTCTCTTCTTTAGACATTTGCATGGGGGATGTTACACAATGTAGTATTAGAAACTTACCAAAATCTACATGCTGTAACCATGCCATTCAACAAAATTACACACACAACTAATGCTCATTGATACCAAGTCAGTTTGCCAAGAGGCTTCATACTCTATACTTGTATTCACTTATTATACAAAGTTTTTGAACAACTCTACAATTTTATAACAGCTGACAAATTTAAGCAATGTGTTTGTCAAGAGATCTTAGTTCAGGAAATTTCTAATATATCATCTTGTTAATAGTGTTTTTGATCAACCAATCTTTCTAACTTGAATAAAGAGGCTTTAAAAAACAATAACAAAAAAAATGAGTCCAAACATTGCTTTAATAAATATATGTGGGAGGCCTTGGTAGTATCTGCTGTCATTACAGATATTTACCCAAACATTCATAATAAAAAAAATAAAAAGATAAAGATGGTTAGGAATAAGAAAGACGAATATAAATGAAGATTTTATTTTCTAGAGAGGGAACAAAATGCTGTCTCTCTGACCTTGAAAAGAAAAGCTACTAGATGTTACAAAAGTCTGTTCTTACAAGTGCAGCACAACATGTTGCAAGACTTGTTTTTTACCTACATATCAGCAAAGCATCGTCTCTTTATAATGTCTGCCCTAAGACTGTCTTCACTGATTGGTCAGTTAGGATCACATCACCAGACAAGAATGGTGCATTTTAATAGAAGAACTGGAAGGAAAATTCACCCAACACCATGATAAGGATCCTCTTCATAATTATAGAACACATAAACAATAATCTTATATTTTTGGCTACATTTCACAATATTATTTTGGTCAATTGACACCAATTTCTTTTTGTTAAGTTGTTAAATAATGCAAATGTATATTTACTACCCTGCACAAGTATTGAACTGATAGCCTTCAGTTAATATAAACTTGTGCTTTATTAAGTTGACCTGTTCCACCTACAGTTGAAATGGGTTCAATGTAAACATGGTTTCTCCACTGGAGACAGATTTATCAATTTGAGGATAGGTTTTCCCATCAGAGGAGATGCTGCTGTTGTAGTATCTGTTCCATGCTGGTCGCTGCCCTCTCCCCCACTGCCTGAACAGAATCCTTGGACTTATTCCATAACATCTGTTCCATAGCGGTGGTATGACCGGCTATGATTAGCTTAGACAAGCTATGACCAGCTAAGACCAGTGGCCCAAGTGAAGACACTAAAGTCCCCACATTAAAAAAAGCCCAACCTTGTGTCACAATATCAGATTGTGTCAACACTCTTGTCATGAGAAATTTCTTTTGTTGAAATATACCTGTTGCATAATGTTTTAACTTTGAAATACAAATAAAATCTTTTTAGAATTTGTGAATATAAATAACAAAGTCAAGACACTTATTACAATGAACAGTTTTAATAAGGGAATTTGCAATGTCTGTCTTTTCATATATTCATGATATTTAATTATCAGTCATGTGTTCATACAGCCTTACCCCAGAGGCTCTTTATCAATTTGTAAAGAAGACAATCAGTGACCTTTTCTTTTTTTTTGGCTTGTCTTTTGATTTACCTTTCAATGGTTTCTTTTTTACTTTATTTTTTTTTTTTACAAATAAAAAAGAATTATTATTAATTACACATATCTTCACTTTAACCTTTTAATGTCATAATTTAATATCATTTATTACAATATCATTTAATATAATTTAATAGTACAAAATATTGAAAAAATATTTTTCCCTTCCCAGGTCAGTTCTTTACTATTTAGAAATTTCATCAGAACTTTTTACACCAGTCTTTCTTCCATCACGAATCCGCATCAGACAGGTAAGTGCAAATTTCCTGGAATAAAATTTTATCTGTCCACCAAATTGTCTTTTGTGATTTCTCTGTCTGTTATTTTCAGTTTAATTTGAAGCAACAGTTATCCTCATCCTGATAGAAATTTATCAAAACTGATCTCCAACTTGTCATTATATTTCAAATACAAATAATTTTAGCTTGAAGAAAATGATGTAAATTTATTGTCTGAATATCAGCCATCTTGTGCCTCTATCTATAGATTTCAAATAATAACTTTAAAAATCAGGAGATCAGTTGAATCTGTTACCTTGGTTTCATCCTTACGGTATCCTCAGGCAAATTTTTATCAACTGACCTCTTAACGCTTTATTATTTTTTTAAAAAACTAATGAATGCTATATTATTATTTTCAAAAATAAATAAACAAACACATGACATTGGGTGTAATAGAAAGTGAGGAGGAGGATGTGAAGAGGGAAGGGAAGAAAGGTAATTGGTGTGGGGTTAATTGAAATTTTAAAAAAATAAAGTCTTTGAGGTCATTTGATAAAAATCACCTGAGGATACTATAAGGTTAAAACCAAGGTAACAGATTCAACTGACCTCTTGATATTTAAAGTTAAAAGCTCGACATGTTATTTTCACTTTTGTTTTATTTTTTCACACTTGTTTTGAGCACTTTTTAATACTACTGTTTCCTGGTCTGATTCAACTCTGACCATTAACGTTTTATATATTATTTCAAATAATATGTACTTAATGTAACAATCTTTTGCTAATACATGAATAATTATGTTGCCATCAAGGAATGTTATTGCCATATTCACGATGTTTTAGACATTGTACGCCCCAGACTTCTTCAGCTGAATAAATTTTTGGGACTTATAAACCTGTTGTGTATATTAATTTACATAAGCGGACTGTTTTAGAAGACATAGTAGAGATTAAGAAATTGAATCCAGAGACTCTGCCCGACTGCGATTTAGTCTTATGCAGGAACAGTCTTCCCAAGAATATACCAAACTAAATAAATTTTTACCTATTCTTTGTTTCAATACATTTTTAACGGATTATTCTTTATTTAAAACAAAACCTAATGTCTCAGTAACCATGCTTTTTATCACATGGCCCAGTGGATAAAAGTATTGACTGAAGTAATCTAGTGACTTGACCCAAAGAGTTGTGATTTCAATACCTAGCCACAGCAAAACAAAGAACTTGGAGAATTGAGTTACTAAAGGAAATTAACTGAAACTGAGATAGCCAGAAAAGGCATGGCATGTGGAACTAGAACAATCTACCTTTGTGGACTAAATAAAGGGTTCAGTTCAAAATTCCAATGTATATCACCTGAAGAAGGCTAGAGTGTACAATAGTTGAAACATTGTGAATATGGCAATAAAGATGAGGACAGCAGTCCAAACAATGTAAAAAGTTACAATACCTCATCTCAGAAATAGAGACAGATGATGGTAAAACCTTTTTGCTATTTAGTCTTTGTAACAGATGAAGTTAACCTTAGCTATGTCAAGGCTGACAATGAAGGTCACAGTTTTGCTACTGTCTGGAAAGGGAAGGTAGTTTTGAATAAAATAATTTGCTTGTTTTCACTCAACTCTTCTCTACTAATTATCAGGACATTAGACAATTTGTAAATGTAAAAACATTTAGTTTTGAGAATGATAATCATAAACATTGAAATTTCAACAAAATAAGTTACAATCATTTTTATTTTTTAATTTTATTTTTTTCTAAATATATTTTCTTTATTTTTATTTATTTTCTAAATGTGAATTATGCTGATATTTTTCTAAATAATCTTGTTTCATTGTTTACAAAATTTGTAAAAATATATTTTTTAATATATTCTGGTTGTTGAGAAACATTAATAGATTTTGGTACTGGCCAAAGTAGTGTTAAGATTCCTTGTTTATGAAATTTTCTATTTTCTCTCACACTTCTCACCTGTGGAACTCTTTTTCAACTTCTTGCCTTCAAAAATTTAAATGCAACATCATTCGTCATCTTGTCTCTATTTTTTTGTTGTCATTTCTCTTCAGCAACATTTTCTCAGTTTCCTTCACACTCAGTAACCCCTCATGTCTTAGTGGCTTTATCAGCTTGTTTTAGGTGAAATTAAATTTTACAGTAATAATTTGGTTAGTGCTTGAGATAAATTCCTAAAAAATGCACCACCAAATAAAACAAGGCCATTCACAGTTGTTATTGCATTGCATGAATTAAGGTCAAAAGGTGAATTTTTAATTGTTATAAACACAAATAAAAATGACATACATCACCAAATAATGGAGTGGAAAAAAATGTGTGTATCCATAGACAGCAAATGTTTAAGGAAGATTAGAACCTGAATTGAAAGAAGTCGTCTTAAATGTAAATCATTGTTTCTTATCATATGTCAGCATTATTGCTATTGCAGTAAAAATAATTGTGTGTGTAATTATTTTAAAATATCTTGTGTCATTGTTGATCCTCAACAAAACTCAGTAGATTAGTTTTGATGAAATCCTTTTTTTTTTTTTCATTTCACACCAAGCAAGGTGATAAAGCCATGAAAATGCAAGGGGTTATTGAAAGTGAAGGAAACTCAGAAGACATAGAGGAAAGAGATGGGGACATTAAAAAAAAAACAGTATTTAAGAGTGGATGCAAACCCAGTTAGGCAGTGGGTAATGCATTTCAACAGAAGCAAGTTGTGTGTGTGATGAACCATGTTCTTCATGCTTGTTCATTAATGGTGAAGATAATGTCTTCAGTAATATTTCCTGCATGAAAACTTATTCGATTCAACAATCTTATTTTGATTCCTGTATCTGTTGTAGTTTATATGGAAATAAACAGGAGCAATTACTTTCAAAGCATCTCTCATATTTTGAACTAGTCTTCTTTTTTCTTTTTTCTTAATCATTTCACTCCAAACAAGGCAATAAAGCCACTAAGACAAGGAGTTACTGAATGTTGAGAATGAGAAAAATTATTAAGAGAGGACAATAAAAGGACAAGAATTAAAAAGCCAGAAGAGAGTTCCACAAGTGACAAGTGAGACAGAAGAAACTGTTAGCATAGAACTTAGTTACATCTCTCATCATTTCAACTGTAAAATGATGAGACCTTGCTGCCAATCTAGTACTGCATTTAAATTTGTAAAATCTAGGTACTATATATGAAAGTTCATCAGAACAATTACCATGAAAGTATTTATTGAAAAGGCACAAGAAAGCTATGTTATGATCTTGTTAAATCATGCTTAGCTCTTAAAGATATTGCCAATGCTAGAAATTTGTTTTCCATTAAATGGGCCATTTTTCTAAAATCTTTTCATGGTGATTATTTTAATAATAAAACACAGTCCATTGATAGCCAGGGTCATTATTTTATTATTTTTAAATGTGTGACAGTTACACACCTGGCCCAGTGTCGGATCCTTTGGTTACGGGCGCCATCTAGTGACGTCGCTCCTCCTGGTCGCTCCTCCTGGGTCCAATTTAATGATCACCTCGTCCAAGATTGGTCACTAAAGCAACTATACCGATCTCCGGTCTGTCTACCCACGCTGTGTTTAGATTTTAGACAGGCCGGGACCAGCAGGGATATTTGAGTCCGGCCGGGGGGTGGCAAAACACAAATAAAATAAAAACTCACGACACCAAACAAAATTGCTAAAAAAGTAACAACCTTTTATATCTTAAAGTTTATAAAAAAAAAGTTTCTCATTTCCCGACCCGCTCTGTGGACTATGGCACCAAGCTTCACACAAATAGAAAAATGTCTACTTTCTAGAATCATGTATGTATGTCGGAGGTGGTTCAGTTCGACACTGGGGCAAATCATTCGCAGTTGATTCTTCTCTCCGACTTGAGTTGTATTTCTTCTTCTTCGTCTGCTTGGGCTGGTAGTTTTCCTGTTTCAACTTGGTGGAAGATTTCTTGTTTCAACTTAGCCGCAACTCTCTGTCGTCTGAGGTGGTCTCTTCTCACTGCCGTCCGGGATGAACTCTAACTTCTCATCGAACATTCTGCACAAGTGGCTTTCAAAATCTTCATCAATTGTCATTTTGTCCTTTTCTCATTTTGAATGAACTGATTTTTGTCGATTTTTTTTTATTGACCTTAAACTTGGGTCTGTCTTTTTCCGATAATTCCAAAACATTTGTCTTCTCCATTATCGTTTTTTTCCCTACTTCCTCGCAGTGGTGGGGCGGCGCACATCCATCTTTCTCGTATGTCAGGTGACATCTTTCTTTCCCTCTTCTTCCGCAGGTCACGTGATCGTAGTTTCTTCCCTTTTCTTCCGCAGGTCACGTGATAAATTTGTTATTGATCGAACATCCTCTCCCCTCTGTTTGCGGGCCATTTCTTGTTTAAAAAAAACAAAATCAATTTTTCCTTTTTTTGCACGTACGCAAAAATGACAATCTTTGGGGACTTTGTCAAACATAATTAGTCTTGACTTTTCTTTTTCCGCCTTCTTGGCCCTCTGTGAGCCAAAAAGCAATATTTTTTACCTCTTTGTTTTTTCCTGATAGTCGAAAATCTTAATTATCTACATTGTTCTCTATTTATTAACGTGGGTGTCCAATTCTTAACAGGTCAAGATCTGTAACTTCCAAGTTTCCCCTCAACCCAAAAACACTTTTCTCTGATTAAAATTTCATTTCTATTGTTAACTCCACGCAAAACGTCGGTCACATGCTTTGACGATTCTTCTAATCAGATTTTGATATCATGTCTTTTTCCCTTTCTTTCTTCTTATTATTTATAATTCTATTCTTCCAATTGTCTTTTTCGAAAAAAAGACCAAATTCTTTCTGACTCCTATCTCCACCCTCAATTTCAGTAATCCTCTCTTCTTCTTTTTTTTCTTTTTTTTTTTTTCTTTCCTTCTTCTTCCCTTAAGATCGTCTAGTACAATCTTAGTGAATTATTTTCAACTCAGTTATTTTCCGCAAAAAAATCAACAACCTGTTTAAACCGAGAATTTCATATTTCTATGTATTTCTAATAATGCAAGGTCAAAATGTAACAATAAATAGTAAATTTCTTCTCTCACACTTCTCATTGTCAAACTTTTTCTGATTTTTCAAATTTACTTTCATTCAAAGTGTAAATTTTTTTTTTCATTTTGAATTTGATTTTTTTTTTTTTTATTTTTTCTCCTCAAAAAGTTTTTTTTCACTCTCAGTAACTTTTGCATCTTAGTCTTTATTGCCTTGCTTGGGGTTTTTTTTTTTTTTTTTTTTTTCCAGCTCAACTAAGTTTTGAATTCTGTTTCTTATAACGTCTACAGCTATTCTTAAAATAGATTCAACTAACTTAGTCTACTAATGAGAAAAAAGACCAATTCTAAATTTAGTAATCCTGGCCTTGAAAATGCAGAAGAATTTCTGATGTGTTAGCTCAATATGGCAACTTAAAAATACATCCTTGATGTAATTTTTGATTTTCTGTTTACTTTCAAAGAATTTTTTTTTTTTTTGTTTAATTTTAAAAAAATTCAAGTCTCTTAAGTTTTTTTTTTTTTTTTTTTTTTTTTTTTTTCCCCCAATTCCAGGTTGCAGTTGGTCGAGACCATGTGATAGTGATTAGCATGGAAAAGCTGGTATACAGTTGGGGTGAAGGTGTCAAGGGTCAACTGGGCCATGGCAACACTGTATCTTGTAAAGAGCCCGAATTAATTGAATCTCTGAAAGGCAAAGCCATCTCAAGGTCAGTAGAAAACATTCAATCATGTCTCCAAATGCAACATTTTTTGTTTTTGGTCCTTAGACAAATCATTCCAATTGATACTTTCCCTTTTTGTATCTATAAATAATTTATGATTGGGTTATACAATAATCACTATGACCAGAAATAATCCTTTCTTTTGTTTTCTTCCAAACATTTTTTATATTCCTAGAGTACATGAATATAAAAAAAAAAGATTTTCATTAAATTTTATAAAAATGAATAGGGGGATCCAGTTTGCTCCATAAATTCATTGTAAATTGATCCCCCCCCCACCTCCACAGTTAACGACCTTTTTGTATTTGTATTTATTTATCTTTTATACAACTATTCTGAAGATTGTGTTATTTTTTAATTTCTGTTTTTGCTTAACTAAAGTTTTATTTATCAACTTTACATTTTTTTTACTCTCTTCAATTTTTAATAATTCATAGTTTTAGATATTAGTCCTGTCAAAAAGGTAGAATAGATTATTTTAAAATAATGACTTTATAATCTCCCAGTATTTTAGGCTCCCAATTTATATTTTTATTTTTCTTTCTGTTATCTTTTTTCTCAGTGGAGTGGAGTGGTTGAGTGTCAATACTGACAAACTTCCTACAGCCAAGCCAAAAAACTTGACAACGAACTTTGGTCATAATAATTATTTAATGCTCTAATGTTAGACTAAAATAGAATTCATTCTAACTAATTAATATTAAATTATACTATAAAATTCAGAATTAAAAATTACCAATTTTAAATTTAATCTGTATTAAGTTTAGAAAATTATAAAATTATTTAAAGAAGAAACTGAGGAAAAAATTTGTTATTTATTTTGTTTTTATTGAAAGTCCAAAAATTAAGTTGGAATAAACATTAAAATCTAATGTTGCTTTGAGCTACGTTACAACTTAGATACATTTGAAGGGAAGATATGGGCAGGGAAGGGTGAAATCTTGCAAATGACAATACATACACAATCAGATTATAATACACAAACACATAAATCAGATTATAATACACAAACACATAAAAATAAATATTCATCAATAAACAACATAAGGAAAAAGGACATTAAAATATATAGAAATGGATAGAAAAATATAAACGCATAAAAAAAAAACACTATCTAATATATAAAAAAAATCTCCTAAACACAGAAATATATATATAAATATTTCAGATATACTTATATACGTATTAGTACACATACATGAGTACAAATATATAACAATATGTGGAAGAAAATAAAAAATGCATATAGACATATGTGTACACACATTCTTCACTACAGATAGAAACATACAAAAGTATACCTACGCACAAATATATACATACACATATACCCATATACATATATATACCTATACACATACGCATATATACAAACATAGAAATAAATATAAATATATCAACCTACACACAATATAAAAAAAATAAACTAAATAAATATAATATATATATATATATATATATATATATATATATATATATATATATTTGTTTGATTTTTTTCATTTCAGCTTTTGGAAGTAAAGTCTGATGATCCAGAACCCTGTTAAAGGGGTTATGGTGAAATAGCTTATTACATGGAATCTTAACGTGGTCTGTCTTTTATTCAAACATATCTGCTCTGAATTTTACATTGAGTTCTCTGGATATCATCCTCCTTGGGTCTACCCATACGGATTACCTAAGTTTGCATAAACTATATATATATATATATATATATATATATATATATATATAAAGTATATAATTGGTATACACACAATGAATTCCAATAAACTTTTCTCAATAATTTTGGTTTTTAAACTTAATAGTGATTAAATTTGGATTTTTTAAAAAATTGCCAGTTTTTAATTTTAATATTAAATTTTATCATATAAATTTATAATTATTAGTTAGTAAAAATTATTTTTAATATTACGTATTTAAAGATCTAAATAGCTATAATAGATTTTTGTTGTCAAGATCTTTCTGTACTTCGTTTTGATTGATTCTAGCTTTTGTAACAAACCCCCTATATCGTTAATTCATCTGAAACTTTTAAAACCATTTATTTTCTTTTCAACACCATCACTTGATAAGACACAGAGTGTGTTGAAACAAAATAGCTATTTTGTAGTGATTTTATAACATACTTATGAAAATAATTATATATATATATATATATATTTATATATATATATTTAAATATATACAGCATACACAAAAATGGACTCTCCCATTTTTGACGAGGATCTGACATCAAATATATATATATGTTCGAATGTGCTCTTCACTATGATACCTAAAGTTTTTGAATTTAAACACAGCACGAAAATGGCATTGAGATCTCATCAAATTACAGTTGAGCTGGCTAGATGTAGCCATAAATTTTATGCTAACAGTTTCTTCACTCACACTTCTAACTTGTGGAACTCCCTTCCAGCTCCATGCTTTCCAGCCAACTTTAATCTGCAAAAAAGTAAATGCAATGTCAATCACTATCTGCTGTCTTCCAATTATTCTTTTCTCTTCCCACTCATTATTAATGTTTTTGTTTCTAATTCTTCTACACCCTTTGTGTCTTAATGAATTTACTGTCTTCCTTGGGATGAACTTGATATTAAAAAAAAATTACCATGAAAATAATCCTAGAAAAGCACAAGGAAGCTATTATGGCAGTGAGAAAGTAACTGAAGCCAAGATGCCATGTCAAGACCAGTAACATTGCAGATACTTTGGATTTTTATCAATAATCTCTAGAGACATAGCAGAAATACCTGACCAAATGTGGCAGAAATTTTCAATGCACGGATAAATGGTAGATATATAAATGTTCAAGATGGTTTCTGGTAAGAAAAATTGTCTGGCACAACACAGTGAACCAACTTTTCTATCAGTAGACATAGCAATTAATTCAACATAATTGTCCCACTTCATGTCAATTGAAAACCTTAAACTGAGAAGGCAAAATAATTTATTCTCCTGGAGGTTAGCATCAGCCATAATGATGGAAGGCAAAAAAAAAAAGCTTCTCTAAGATGATTAAAAGAGACCAGTTTCATTTTGGAGAAATTAGAGTTAAAATAAAAGTGATAAAAAGCAAGAATAAGATTATGAAAATGTAAGCGATCTGGGATTGCAAAGGAAATCTTTGTCGTAGATTACTTCCACAATGCAGAGAATAAATCACTAAGTTCAGACTCAAACATTGGGGGGCAGAAAGAAATGCCGAAAACTTGATTCGCAGGTACTATCTCACAAATCACAATGCACACAACCAGTCAGAAAAATAACTCACTCTAACAAATGCAGTAGCCTAAATACCCGAATTGTCTCCCCGATTCAAGAACACCAACTGCTTTTATTGGCCGAGCATTTTTTCCATTCATTGACAGCTGGGAGAGGATGCTCAATTTTTGCATATCAAAATACTTTTATAGCGATTTTCTGCTACAAACTTGTTTTTTAATTTAAATATTCTGTCTTCAGCATTTTTTTAAGTAATTTTCTTTTTCGCCACATTTTCCATCATAGGATACACGCAACACACTATCACTTATTTTGACGAGGTAAGTCGTCGTTTTCTTCTCTATAGAAAAATTAATTAGTTGAAAATTACTAAGGACAGAAATTCTGACAAATTAAAACTCGCACTATTTAATATGGATTTGTATGTGTGTTTTATATTTGAAAAATGGATTGTAAAATTCAGTTCTTAAAAACACATATGTAATATGAAACCTGTCATATGGCACTGAATTCTGAACAATTTCCTCAGAAGAGGAGGCTTGAAGCAGCAGAAATGTAGTTCTACAGAAGGATGCTGAGAATATCATGGACAGAGCATGTGAGCAATGAGGTTGTTTTAAGGAAAATAGAAACAAAGAGGACAAAAGGAAAGTTCTGTTTAGAATCCAAAAGAGAGAACTGAAATTTCTGACACATAATGAGGAAAGAGGCTTGGAAAATTTGACACTCACAGGATATATTGAAAGCAGAAAGAAACATTGGGTAACCTACCTAATGAGTTTGTGTAAATGGATGGGATAGTAAGGGAATAAGCACTACTTAGAGCTACAACGGATTAGAAGTTGTGGAGAGCTGTGATCACCTTGAAGAGGCATAGCACATAAAAGGTATTGATGATGGTGGGGGGGGTATTTTAAGATTAAAATTTCCAGGATATTGTATTGAAGGTAATGTTTAAATCTCTTTGAAGAGCTTGTTGTGGTGATGGCTTCAGCGCTTTCCTCAGTGAGAATGGTATTGTGATGACATGTGGTGATGGTTCCAAAGGCTGCCTGGGTCACGGAGACTGGAATTCTAATCTCAGACCTCGACTCATTGAGTCATTACTCAGGTAAGCATCTATTTACATTTGGTTTTCTCTAAAAACAACACAAGAATTTCAAATATGCTAGTTTACTTGTTGACTGTATTAAAACAATTTTGCCATAGCGCACTGGTTATATTTTTTTGTATAAGTATTCAATGGTTTTTATCTATTATCACATGTAAGAAAATTTTTTATCTATTATCACATGTAAGAAAAATTTGCTTTTTTAAATCATTAAGAGTTAAAAAAAAATATCTAAAGAAAGAAACAAAAATAGTATAAATTTGATCTCCCTCTTTACAAATGAGATATTCCATTGTTATGATAACACAAGATGTTAGCTTATGTTATTGTTAATGCTTCTTGTTACCATAACAGCGGAATAACTCATCTCAAATTGGAGAAATCAGGACGTGGGAGCAATAAATATATAAATCACATTATTTTTAAAGATTGTGATATATTAAAAACAATTGTATATTCCAAATAGTATTGGAGAAAAGAAATATCCTGGGCATTATATTACCATAACATTGACTGTATATGATACACCGGACTCATAGGAAATAATTCATCTGACCAAATTATTTTTCTTTAAACATCCAACACCTTAACAAAATAATGTTTTATTTTAAACTCAAAGTAGTTATATATATATATATAATAAAAATAAATGCTGAAGTTGACAGAGCCTAAATATAATATAATAATATTATCATTATTTTACATACATTTTACATATATATATATATATATATATATATATATATATATATATAAATATATATATATATATAAAATACATAAATGGTTAATGGTCAGAGTTGAATCAAACCAGAAAACAGTAGTACTAAAAAGTGCACAATACATGTGTGAAAAAGCAAAAGTAAAAATATCATGTAAAGCTTTTAACTTTAAAAATAAGGAGGTCAGCTGAATCCGCTACTTTGTTTCCAACCTTACGGTTAAACCTTTAACCTTACAGTTTTAACCTTATGAAATTGTGTTAGGTGGTCATTCGGTAAAAATTGCCTGAGGATAATAAGGTTGAAACCAAGGTAGCTGATTCAACTGACCTCCTGACTTTTAAAGTTTTATATATATATATATATATATATATATATATATATATATATATATATATATATATATAATACTAGGCATAATTTTATTTTGTGTGTGGAACTCAATATCTTGGAAATCTTACTTATAATCTACCGAGAATTATGTCCCCTTGACTCTGTCTCGGGGGGTGGGGGGAGAAGAAACATCAGGATAAATTCAGTTTGATAAACATGATTCTTCTTCATTTGCCCTTATCCCCAGAAAGACGTCATTGAGGTACTGAACTATCCACCATTCTCTTTCATCTGTCACAGTTGTGTGCCAGAACCTGGGACTCTGAGAATGTTTTTTTGGTGTGCTCATTATGTGGCATATCATGGGCATTTTAACATGACAGAGCCCATCCCTCTGTTAGATCACAGCCAATGTTCTCCAACTAGGTGGCTCGCTTTGGCCACAAACATGTGGCCCTTGTAATTCATCTGTGGAAACCTTCTGCCCTTGCCGGTGACCTGTGTCAAGGAGTTCTTTTCCCAGTGGTGACATGTTAACACTACCCCCTCATGTGAGTTTAGCCCACCAGCTGAAATGTCATGGCAACTTGGAGCCATCATGTGAAAGATTTATGAAATATTTGAGGATTAGTGATGCCTGTCCAGCCGAAGATGCAGCATGACATACAGCAAAGCTACAACCTCTATGCCCACACGTATATATATTTTACACTGGATGTCGGAGTGAACTTTAGTACTGCTCAGTTACTGCTTGCCTCATTTCCAGTGAGTCCAAGGAATCACACTGCCTGGACCAGTGATTGAACTCACAAATACTATGTCACCAAATTCACGAACTGACAATTTAACTGACTTTATGATTCTGAGTGGAGAACTTGAAGCCTTGAACCTATGCTGCCTGCTGATGAGTGTGCCATGCAGTGTGTAGTTGGACTTCAAGGGAATTGGGCGTGAGCAATAACTGCACATTAATAAAATAAGAACAAGATGATATATTCCCAGACATAGACAGTGGAAACAGAACAATCTACTTGTGTGGATTAAATAAAGGATCCTGTTTGAAATTCCATGAATGTTACCTGGATTGACAAGTACCTGAAGCAGGCCAGAGGGTATAACAGCCTAAACGTTGTGATAACAGCAGCAAAGATGAGGACAATAATCCATGTGTAAATGATAACTCCTCATACCAGAAATTAAGACCAAAGTTTAGAGTAACAGAATAAAGAAAAAAACTGTTGTTCTGCTGGTGATTTTCTAAGTACAGCTTAGATGTTGCACATGGCTGAAAGTATAAGGCATCCAGTAAGGATTGTATTCACAAATCAATCATAATTGATCAAGCAAGACATAATTGCTAATCTTTACACCATGTCAAAATACCCAAACTGTTGGTCTATTGATTTGGAGACATGCAAATATGTTTTGTGGTGATTCAAATAAAATAGTAAGAAAACATTTGTTAAAATGTCCAGCTCCATGATTTTGCAAATAACACAATCCCCCCCCCCACTTTTTTTTTTCTTCCACTTCAAATAATTGTTTTGTAAGTTTTTTTTTTGTTTTTTTTTATTCAGGTTCACAAACTAAACAGTTTATCTAAAGGAATGTGTATGGTTTTCATTATACTGCATTTGTCCCATAATAGTTGTTACATTGAGTGTATGAAATGTGTATATGAGTGGAATACCCATAATGGGACAGAAGTTGTAATTTCTATTTTGACATCAAGGAATTTTTCAGCACCCCCTTATAATTATTTTATATATGTCTGGTAAAACTAATTTCCTCACTTTTAGTACAGCATTTCAAATGCTGTAGTCATTAGGTTTCCATAAGTATTGGATGTCAAACTTTAGCATGAAATGCAGGAAAGAATTTGAAGAAGATGAAAGAAATCCTAGTCAAAACAGTGAATGATATTTGACAATGCTTCATCGAATCTAAATTCCCAATAATATTTACTATTATTACCACTATTACTGGAAATAAAACAAATGAAATGAAAATGAAAAATCAGTCAAAAATTAATATTTGGCAATGCTTCCATAAAAAATAAATGTCAAACATTACAAAACTTGCAATTCTTTTCATTATGTATTTCTGGATTTGTGTATTTTTTAGGGTTGATATTTTGACCTTGGCTTGTGGTCCCCATCATGTAGTTACTGGAGGCAGTGCAGGAGTTCTGTTTTCTTGGGGTTGTGGTGCCAATGGCAGACTAGGATTAGGAACAGAAGAAAGTCAGTAAGTATAACATTTTAAGCAAATCTGATTTTTGACAATCAGTCAGTTACTAATCCATGATTTTTATTAGATGCAATTTGCAGGACCCAAAATATCTTATGCATAACATGGCAGGAATATATAAAAAAATTAAATTTCTAATTCTTTAACTTCATCAAAGAATAATACACAACTCGTCTCCACGTTAGAATTGCATTCTGCTTCTGCCATGGAAAATTGCTTCCTATATAAGTTGAATTGCTGCTGCAGTGTGTTTTATCTTATTAATATCTTTTAAAATCTGTTTTTCTATACATCCTCATCAAATGCTTCAAACTTTTGGCCTGGTGCCGGACAAGGCTAGACTGAGTAAATATCTATTGTGTTTGATGGCATAGAAGACCCAGTTTTTTTTTTTGGGGGGGGGTCAGATTTTATAATACTTTTTTTTTTTTTTTTTTTTTTTTTCAGATTTTATAAAACTTTCTTTTTTTTTTTTTTAAGCATTTTACCCCAAGAAAGCTGAGGTGTTACCAAGAGTGAAAGAAAATGAGGCAAGGTTATTGAGGAGAAAAGACAATACAAGAAAAGGATTAACAGAGAGAGAAGATGAAAATTAACATTGCATTTAAATTTTTGAAAATCATAGTTGTCATGAAAGCAAGAATCCAGAAGAGAGTTCCACAAATGAGATGTGAAAGAGAAGAAATTATCAGAATAGAACTTACAGTTACATTTAGCAATTTGATGAGTGAAATGATGAGACCTATCTGCCAATTTAGTACTACACTTGAAGTCAATGTACCAAGGAGGAAAGGTCATCATAACAATGACTGTGAAAATATTTATAGAAAAGGCACAGGGAAGCTACATTGTGGCAATATCAATGTAACTGAAGTCGAGATGCCAGGTCAGAACTGATGACATTGCAGATTCTTTGGATTTTGTCAAAAATCTCTACATACATGGCAACAATATTCAATGCGTATTTTATAAGTATTCATGAAATGGACTTGTTTTGATGAACATTTGAAATATAATCCAATCATTTTTCTCTGTGTTGAAAAGTGAGGTAGGGAATATCCCATACCTGTGGAGTCCTTATACACCTTGGCTTGTGAAATTTGCTTCATGTTAGAAGCACTGATCATAAACTTCAGATGTTTGTGAGCTGCAAGACAAAAACAAAATTTATACAATTGGTTTTGCTGTTACCAAAAAATATTCTATAAATTTATAGCAGCAAAAATAAAAGACTTGGGATTTAGTTTTCTATTTGTCTTCTTGTTTCATTTTTGATATTTTTGTTTTTTGTCTTTCAGTTGTAAACCAATGCAGATCCAAATTGTAGAACCAGTAGTTATTGTGGATATTCACTGTGGCAATGATGGCACCATGTTCCTCACGGAGACTGGAGCTGTTTTGGCATGTGGCTCAAATCGTAACAACAAACTGGGATTGAACAACAGGCAGGGCTTTCTTATGGCCATGAAAAATATTTTCAACAAGGTACCAGAAAAATACTTTCCAATCTGATCTCTTATACAAAAAAAACTGTTTGTATTTTTAAACAAATTGGTGTCATTTCCTTCATTCAAATTTGCAAGTAAAATGTCTTTTATGTAGATTTGCATGTTGTAGTGTCTTTTAATTTAGATTTGCCTCCTTATCATAAATGAATGTTTGTCTTTTTAAATAGCCTGCTGTATTAAAGCATTGAACTGTGAAGCTGGTGACATAGTAATTCTGAGTTCAATTTCTAGCCATGTCCTGCGTATGGCAATAAACTACATCTGCATCCTGGGTAAGATGATAAACTATGTTCAACAGCAAGACCTGAGGTTTTGAGGAGTGTGGAACCACCTCTTAATTGCTGGTGTTCCCAGGTCCACCTTGATCTGGTGTGGTAGAACCTGTTAAGGTCCCAACTATGGGCAAATAGTTAACCCCAAATTGAGGTCAAAACATTATGAAAGTGTAAAAATAGGTCTTAATACCAGAAATACTTTGTAAAAGAAAGAAAATTATTACCATCAATACATTATTATCAGCAATACATTTGAGGCAAAAGAATTTTACCAGCAATCTTTTTGGAAAAAAAAATATCAGAAGTAGATTTTTTGGAAGGAAAAATATTACTGGCAATACATGTTTGAAAACAAAATATTACCAGCAATAAAAATTGTCAGCATTAAATAACCCATTGAGGTTGATATGCCGTAAACCAAACCAAACCAATTCCTAGCCTGGGCAGTATGAACTTGGACTCAGTGGAAACAGGGTTTGCAATTATTGTGCAGTGCTAAATAAGAACTAGACAAGATATCCTTAGACATTTTCATTTGAATCAGGACAATCTACTCCCATTAAATAAAGGATTTAGTTCAAAATTCGCTGAAGGTTACCTGGATTGACAAGCACTTGATGAAGTCCAGAGGGTGCAATGACTGAAAATTAGTATCAATAACATAGCAACAAAGATGAGGGCAATAGGCGGTATGGAAATTATAAACATACAAGAAGATCCTCACTCAGCTTTACACTGATGGGCCAATTAATCTTCCACATTGGGTCATCAATTCTGGGAAAGGTTTGCTGCATATTCACAAAGAAAGAAAAGATGAAAACAAGAACTCAAACTTTGTTAGCCATATTATGAAATAGGTGTTTTATTTAGGTTTTCATTTGCTCAGTCTAGGCGGGTGGGTTGGTAGATGACACTCAGGACAGCTTCTCTCATGTCAGTCTAACAGCTTAGCTCTTTCATTTGACTGTTCTTCCTCCCAACTCTCTACCCATGTTCAAATCCCAATGTATGGCTGGCAACATGAATGGGCTGTGTCAAAACTAAGTCTGTTTCAAACCAAGGGCAAACCAGAATTGGCTTCCTCAATCCCAACTGGAACTGCTAATATAGACCAGCAACTGGAAACTCTCTATATCCAGTTTGTTGTCACTTGACCTCAAATAATTTCCTTTATCTGCTTGTTACTTGTTATTCTTCAGTCTAGTTGGTGCTATTCAGAAGAAACTATCTGTCAGCTGTAAAACAGAAACACTTGAGATCAAATCCCACACTTTCCTTTTCTATGTCCTTGTTCCAACCATAGTGTCACAAATCATGTAAATGTTCATCTGCTTCTGAAATTAAAGGTATTCTTTTATTTCTTTCTGAAAATTTTTGCTTTCTACTTGCTGCTTCTTTTTTCCAATCTTTTTTCATAATGCATCTATGAAACAAGACACATTTCTTTTCCAACTGACAAATCTCTGTTGTGTTGAATCTCAACTTGAAGTACCTTACCACTTTCTCTCATCTATATGTGTATTGTAACATACTAGTGTAATGATTGACAATAATACATTTCCTAATGACTGAAAAGTAATTTCACAAAAGATTGTAGTCTTGTGGCAAAAGTAAGTTACACTTAATTATGGGGAACAATATATTAAGTTTATATGCAAAAGTTCCCAGCCATTTCTTGAAAACTTTTTTTTTTAATATCCTGTCCCTTGAGGATGTAGATAATCATGACTCTCCACATCTTCGTTTTCTTTATTATCTATGAATTGCCATAACTTTATAGGAAAGATAATGGAACTGTTCCCTTTTGCCTTTTTCATTGTTTGGAATTTATTTTCTTTTTTTTTAGGCTGGTGTCCATCCAAGGCTAGAAAGACCAGTCTACCTTAAATACCAATTTAACAAATACATGGGTGGGTGGAGAGAAGAGATGGATTCATGCTTTTCTCAAGAGAATTAGTGCAAAAGTGAATGCAATAGAATAGGCAGTTATTTGAATTCTGTAACATGGAAATAGACTGATCTGATTTTTTTTTTGATGGGGGAGGAGAATAATTTTTGTAGATTAAAAGTCATTTGACATTTCTCAAGACACAACATTTGTCAGAATCAAAAAATATTGAAGTTTATTTTTTCATCAATTTACAAACAGAGTCCTGTCCATAATATCGATACAAAATCAATGTAAAAAAAAATATCAATATAAAGTTGATCCTTGACTTGATTTTTTTTTTTTTTTTTTTAGTGTTGTTATTTACAAATGTCAAGTTAGGGATTGATTTTACACTATATTTGTATTATGAACAGGACCCCCACTTTTAAAATGGTAAAAAATTAATTTTTTTTTAATATATTTTTATTTTTTTACATTTATATTATGATAAGGACACCTTTTGTAAAATATTAAAAAAAAAATTAATATTTTTCCATTCTGAAAAATGTTGCACCTTGAGGAAGGTCTAAATACAGTGTAAAATTGGTCCCTGATTTTTACAGTTATCTGAACTTAGATTATGTACAAACATTAAGTTTGAAACTCAACTTTTGTCATCGATATCAAGTGGTTTTTTTTGTTTTTTTATTAAAACTTTTTCTTGGTGGGGGATTTTTTTAAGAAGCACTTACACAAAGATTGTGGGATAATAATGATTACTTTAAATGAAGAATAAATAGATATATACATTTATTAATTTATATAAATGTTTGTCCAGTTAATACTTTCCCTTTTTGTATCTATAAATAATTTATGATTGGATTATACAATAATCACTATGACCAGAAATAATCCTTTCTTTTTTTTCTTCCAAACATTTTTTATATTCCTAGAGTACATGAATATAAAAAAAAAAAGATTTTCATTAAATTTTATAAAAATGAATAGGGGGATCCAGTTTGCTCCATAAATTCATTGTAAATTGATCCCCCCCCACCTCCACAGTTAACAACCTTTTTGTATTTATTTATCTTTTATACAACTATTCTGAAGATTGTGTTATTTTTTAATTTCTGTTTTTGCTTAACTAAAGTTTTATTTATCAACTTTACATTTTTTTACTCACTTCAATTTTTAATAATTCATAGTTTTAGATAATTAGTCCTGTCAAAAAGGTAGAATAGATTATTTTAAAATAATGACTTTATAATCTCCCAGTATTTTAGGCTCCCAATTTATATTTTTCTTTTTCTTTCTGTTATCTTTTTTCTCAGTGGAGTGGTTGAGTGTCAATACTGACAAACTTCCTGCAGCCAGGCCAAAAAACTTGACAATGAACTTTGGTCATAATAATTATTTAATGCTCTAATATTAGACTAAAATAGAATTCATTCTAACTAATTAATATTAAATTATACTATATAATTCAGAATTAAAAATTACCAATTTTGAATTTAATCTGTATTAAGTTTGAAAAATTATAAAATTATTTAAAGAAGAAACTGAGGAAAAAATACATATGTTTTGTTATTTATTTTGTTTTTATTGAAAGGCCAAAAATTAAGTTGGAATAAACATTAAAATCTAATGTTGCTTTGAGCTCCGTTACAACTTAGATACATTTGAAGGGAAGATATGGGCAGGGAAGGGTGAAATCTTGCAAATGACGATGCATACACAAACAGATTATAATACACAAACACATAGACATATTTAGATATATAAACATGCAAAAAAGCGATGAAACAGGAAATAAGTCTCCATGACCCTTAAAAAACCCCCCAAAAAATGACAACATATACATACAAAGAAAGGCACATATAAGCGATTATACCCACATACATTGATAAAGACCTGCACATATACCCACCAAGAAATATTCAAATTTGAAAGTATTTGTAAACAAATTCTAACATACTATTAAAATAGTAAAAAATCTTTGTCCATTTAAAATCTTTGTCCATTTGTTCTTTATTTAAAGGAAATCTTTTTGTAAAAAAAAAAATCTGATTTTGGTTGCAGAACTAGTTCCAGATAACCTTGTAAAAATCAGGGATCGATTTTACACTATATTGATACTATGAACAGGACACCTACTTTTAAAATGATAAAAAAAATAATTTTTTTTTTTTTTTTTTTTTTTTTTTTTCTGACAAATATTGTGCCTTGATGATGCTAACCTGCAAAAAAATTATTTCCAAAAAACTGTTTTTCCAATTTCTTAGCAGTGGACCATTCTGTTTAAGTTGTCCAACTCTGCTTATGATTTTTTCTCTTTCAACACTAATTCTATTACTCTCAGATCCTCTTGAAAACTAAAGACTGTAGAGAACCATTTAAATTTTTTTTTTTTTTTAAATAAAAATGCTGAACAACCCAAACTGTTCATATGTAAATGTATTTAGGCATTATGCCCAATTGTAATATTGTGTACCCAGAATAAAATTTAAAAAAAAAAAAAGGTTTCCCTTCAAATTGAATGTTTCTATTTCTCTGCAGACAGAAGTGGAAGGACAAAATGTTCCAACTCCTGTCAAATCATTAGCACGGTTTAAAGTACTTGACATCTCGATGGGTTCTCATCACACTGCCGTGATTGTAGAACCTGGTTGTTATGTCTACATGTTTGGCCAGAACAGTGAGGGTCAGCTGGGAATTGGCAACACCAAATCCACAACTGGGCCTGTCAAGATGCAGGCATTGAGTAATGAAAAAGTATTAGTAAGTACTTTTTTTTTTCTTTTTTTTTTTTTTACCAGATCCTGACCACAGACAATCCCTTTTTTATTTTTATTTTTCTTTCTGTATGTGAAAAATACAAACTACATGCCAAAGCATTCTCAAGCAAATTTTAGATTGCAAAGTTTGGTATTCAGTCATTAATTTTTAATCATTTTTTTTGTTGTTGGTGCCAGGAATATTTAGACTTTAGTGAAGCCAGTGAGGAGTATTGGTAAAGTTAGTGGGCTCTTATAAGAAAAACAGAACTCAGATCTGTGGATACTAGCTTTAAATGTAGTCAACATTTCCCCCTGGTCCTCACCAGAATATATAAGTATCATCATTGTAATGTCATCATCATTAGTTTCATGGTCAGCTAAGATCGTAGGGTCACTGCATAGGGTCAAACATCTGGGTTGAAAGCCAAAGAGGTATTCATTCATATGTAGTATGTCTTAGGCAAGTGAACCTGACAGAGCCCATCTCTCTCCAGTTCAAACTATAACCAGTGTTTTCTAACTTGAAAGCTCACCTTTGTCATGGACACGTGGCTGTTGATTCTCCTCCAAGGATGCCATGTCACTGACTACATACATACATACACACACACACACACACACATACATACATATTGCTATGGAGTCCAGTCTAGCACAATTGTTCCCTACAATAAGGTTCATCTATCCTTTTGACAGGTTTTATTTTGAATCCTGTTGGGCATCTAACCTCTAGAAAAGCCTGGTGGAGGAACCAGTTTAATTGCCAATGACCTGACTGCAGCAGGTAGTGCTGGGTTACGTGGTACCAGCAGCACTCCTAGAATGACCTGACATGAATTCTGAAAATCTATAAAGTTTAAATGTCAATAAAGTCAGACTTGGATCACAAATGAACCAATATCACTTGCAGAAAACATTTTTCTATCAAACTGAATGAAGATGCATAATACAAGGCATTGGGTGGCTTAATAATTGAGGGGTTCAGAATATTTCTCAATAGGAGTCTTAATAAAATGAGCGAGTCAGAAAATTCTGAGCTACAACTGTAACACCCGACTTTGAAATTTCTTTACATTTTCTGATAAGATAGTCGCATGGAAAGAAGCTCTGGAACTTCTTAATTAGTAAATGTCTTTTCTTATGTACAATATGACTTCAGTGTTTTTTGAAGCTAAAACTCTTAAATTTTTGCTGTTTATTTTTATTTATTTCCCCACAATAGAAGTACATCAGTTCCCCTATCATTCACTTCACACTCCTCCTCAGTCTTTTCAACAGGAGTAGAGATTTATCCTTTGCTTCCTGTTTAGGATTGCGTTTCCAATTCCTTCTAAATCCTACTTCTACTCTATACTAACATCTCGACCTAAACTCAGGATTGGTTTTTTGGTTCCTTATAAAGTTTTTTTCTTCTGAAATTCTTGAAGATTGTGGGTAGCAAGGAAGCAAGAAAATGGAAGGAAGTTCCACAGGTCAGAAGTGTGAGAAAAGAACCTATTAGAATAGAATATATGATTACATTTAAGTAGTTCAACAGTACAAAGGTGAGACCTAATTGCCAATCTAATAGTTCACTTAACTTCCTGCAGTCAAAAAAAACAATGAAGAAAAGTCATCAGAACAATTACCATGAAAATATTTGTAGAAAAGACAGGAAGAAGCTATGATGCATCAAGTGAAAGTTACTGAAGTCTAGATGCCAGGTCAGGACCAATTACGTTACATACCCTTCTTTTGATTTTGTCAAGAATCTTGAGATCATAGTAACATCACCAGACCAAATATGGCAGCAGTATTCAATGCATGGAAGAATGGTAGATTCATAAATGGGTAAAATGGATCCTGTGACAAGAAAAATTGCCTGGCATGACACAGTGAACAAACTTGTTTAGCAGTAAACCTGCGAATTGATTCTATATAATCACTACACTTGATGTCTGCAGAAAACATGAACCCAAAGAAGTGCCAAGAAATCCTGGAAACAAGGATGTTGTGAAACCTAAAAAGTAAAACTTCTTTATACAATTCATTGAAATGAGCAAAATCTTGAACCAACTTTAATAATTTCTATTTCCTATTAGATATCTGAGGAAAATTTCAAAATTAGTAAATGAGATGACATTAATAAGGTCATCAGGAGGAATTGGGAAATGACCTCAAAAATGAAATCTCCCTCTCCTTCTATTAGGCTCTTACATGTAAGGGGAGACTACTCTGTAATTAGACATTTTCCAACTTCATTTATTAGCTTTACTTTTACTTCTACTAATCCCTAAACAGCCAGAGTTTAGTGTTAAATGGTTTTCCAAATAATTTATAAAATTTCTTTTTTTAAAAAAAAATGAGGACATGCTCATGATGGGAAAGGAAAAGAAATTAAAAGATTACATTGAAATCCATAACAGAATGACACGGCTATTTTATAAAAAAAATGAATTTATCATATGTAATAAAACGTTTCTTTTTTTCATTTTCAAAACAATAGAAGATCTGATTATAGTAGGGTCCATTAAATTGTGAATTTACTGTGAATATATAATAATACACATACAATTTTGAGACAAGATACAACAAATTTTATTTTTCTTGTTTCTATCCAGAAAAGCATTCTCTCTTATGAAACAAATTAAATATTTTTCAAATGTTTGTGATCAAGTACATTCACACATATTAAACATCTTGCCATTAAGATCAGAGAACAAAATGTCTATGGATGTTAATCATTTTTTTCTTTACAATTTTAACATTAAAATTTGTCTTAATGCATAAGGTGAATTCAAAATGAAATTCTTCACTGGGCTCAATGTATCTATCAATTGTAAAACACTTTCAAAATCACAATTGCAAAACTGAAGCTCAATTTTTTTTTTCTTTTAAAGATTCCAAAATATCACTGCTTAACTGTCTGTTTATTAATACATGAATGGCACTTTGATCAGACAAGTGGCAAGTTAATCTACAGGATATTGTATCAGACAAGTGGCAAGTTAATCTACAGGATATTGTATCAGACAAGTGGCAAGTTAATCTACAGGATATTTGTAAATTTTAAATATTTTCCCTCTTTCCAGATTTATAATTTTTTTTTTAACCATTCTAGTTTCCATTAAAGTTGTACAGTCACAAAACAATGGTTTGCTATTTAATAACTATTAAAATGCATCTCAATATGACATTATTTTTATTCTTTAATGGTTTAGGTTATATATTGTTAATTTTATTTATTGTTTTTTATTTCTCATTACAGCGGGTACAGTGTGGAGATCATTTTACAGTTGCTTGCACTACTGACAACCACTTATACTACTGGGGTTTGAGGTTCAAGCCTCCAGCTCATCAAAGATTTGCATCTGGTGCTTCTGACTATAGTAAAGACATGACTCTAGCCATTTCCAGCCGCAGCTCCTTAAGTAAAGAAAGATGTTCAAGTGACAGCTGTTTGGCCAGTTCAAGTCCAAAGGAGTTCACTTTTGATGCTTATGACTGTATGTACCCCACCCGATTTAACTTTCAGTCTATAGTCTTGATTAAAATTCATTCCCTACTCTCTTTCACTGACATAGAGAGAGAAGTAGAGATATGTGAATGAGCAGGTGTATTTGGATATTTTCTGCCTTAAATGTCTAAAACGTTTTACTGATTATCTCCCTTGTACTATCGATGCCAGGTGACAGTGTCTTTGTTATAACAATAGCAGAATGTTCAATAATATTAGGAAAACCAGAAGACTAACTCCATCAAAGAGCAAGGGACACTAATAATAATAATAATAACTGGAAAACAATATTCAAAGACTTACATTTGAAAACTTGATAATAGTCAACAAGTAACAAAATATTCAGTTACTTATTACTAAAATTGGCAAAAGATTTTTCCTGGACATAAAGTGGGAGTCATTTTTTATTGTAATAAACTGATCCCCCATTAATTACTACATTAATAATTGAAAAAAATATATTTAAAGACTCATGAAACACCTGTTCTTGTACAAAGTTAAGCAATGTCAAGCCTGGTCAGTACCTAGATAGGTAACAATTTTGGAATACCAGATTCTGTTAGCTTGCATGTGTGGGTAGTGTGATGGATAATGGCTCAAAATTTTTAATCTTTGTAATGTATTTGTTTAGTGCCTCACTAATTCTGTGCATAATAACAGAATATCAGCAGTGGACCTAATAAAGTGATATCTATATTCTTTGTCAATCAGGAGGTTGTCCCTGTTGAGGTGAGCAACAATCTGCTTGATGATCATTGACTTAAGCAGTTTGCTGATGACAACTAAAGAGGCTGATAGGTTCTAATATAACTACAGTTCACTTGCATTCTTGAAAACAGAATATACAGTTGACACATTCCATAGATTTCGGAAGGATATCTCCTTGAGGCAGAATTGGAAAGAAATCAAGGCTAATGTTCTTAAGGACTACTACCAAGATTTTATCAGGATCCGTAGCCTAAATAGCTTTTGATGAGTCTGGAAACTTTCCGGGCAGTGAAATTCTGCTGAGATACATATCTGCTCGTCAAGCTTCTTTAAGGAAGGTTACATGCCTCAACAGATGGAGGGGAATCATCACACTGTTCATGATCCTTTAGGGTCTAAGGGGCACCATACGTACTGCAACCACAGCAGCAGTGGAGTGTCCTGGGGAAAGATAGCCTGACAGAGGCCAACCCTCTCCAGACTGGATTCAGTTTTTCTTTCTCTTAGACCAGCTGCCACCCAACTCTATAGGAGCCAGTCTCTCCTGCTATTTACCAATAGTGGGGAGAAAAATAGATTCATTCCTTTCCCAAGGGTATTAGAACACTGTCACACCATCATAAAATCAATCCAGATACAACTTGGAATAAAATCATATAAATACAGGAAATGTCATTTATATATCAGATGTCTGCCAATCCTATTAAGTGTGCAAAAGTGACTAGGATTTTTCATTCTTTCTTTTTTAAAAACTATTTTCCTATTATCAATAGTTTCTGCCAAAAGTAAAGTGCTGAGAACTTTTTCACACACCTATTATTATTATTATTATTATTATTATTATTATTTGTGTATGTTATGTTTCCTGCTTTGTATCCTGTTCTTTGATTGTTTTGTGTGTGTGTGTGTGTATTATAAAGCCCCATAAAATTGCTCCAGGCCCAATCTCCATGACCAGGTCAGAGTGGTCTTCATACCAATTTCTTTCAGTTTTCTTTCCATAAAAATTGCAGATTTTCCAATGCAAATATTGGTCCACTCTGTCATGCTGGGTTTTATATTCAGTGAGTACCAATAACATACAATGGAATAAAAGATAGCCAATTTTTTCTGGATATTTATCACAGAATCTGCAATTTATGCTAACAATTTTTCAGTGTGCTTGTAAATTTCTGGTTAGCAAGTATTGGTCCTGTGCAGCAAGAATAAAACCTTCAGTTTCAGCTTTTAACCCTGTACTACATAGCCACTGATGGGTACAAGGATTGTCTACATCAGCTTGTTTGCTATGGACTGAATATTGACTGGGAAGAGGTTTATCTTGCCATTGTGTCTGTATCTGATTTGATTCTATTTGCCTTTGCCTCCTTTTTTTAAGGCTTTTGCAACTGCAGTAGGTGCATTATGTTTCATTTGCATTTCTTCATCCACTTGAAACACCATTTTGAACTTGTTAGCTTCCTTTATGACTGAATAAAGTTTCTTACTTCTTTCATATTATTTGACACAGATCAGCATCCAGTCTTCTGTAGTTTCCAGATATTTTCAAAGGCCAATTTTTGTAGTTTTCTATGACAGTTCTAACTGAATTAATCCTCTTCCTCCCTCTGATCCAGATACATATAGATGATCAACATCAGCCTTGGGATGATGCATGTCATGGCAAGTGAAAAGCTTTCTCGTTTTGGCGTCCATTCGCTTAATGTCAGCTATGGTGCAGTTGAAGATGTTGAAACTGTATTGTACCACAGGGACATCCAAGGTGTTTATGGCTGATATTCTGTTTTTTTGAATTCAACTCTGTACTCAATACCAGACACACACACACACACACACACACACACACCTGTAGTATTCTTTTCTTACATTCTCCTTCATTTTGGGCATACTGTATTCCATCTCCTTAGGTACCTATAGGCTTCTTTTTGTTCCAGTTCCCTAATATTTGTGACAAAATCTAAATCTATTGTCTGTGTTTCTGTAATTCTCCCTTTCTTGAATGTTACTTTTGCCCATTTATCTAATCTGAAATCCATACTTATGTCGTCACTAAAACATTTTACAGAATTGAGGAAACCCTTCAACTCATTTTCGTCTTTGGCAAAGAGTTTGAGATCATCCATGTAGAGTAGGGGATTGAATAATTTCTTGTTTACATTGTATCCATAGCTATTATTGTATAGTTCATGCATAAGTTCAATTAAGGACAGACAAAACAGAAAGGGTGACAGGGAGCCTCCTTGAAAGATTCCTCGTCGGATATTCAGGCAGTTGGAAGTGGCAGTGCTTTTGATGTTATTTAGGTATGATGAGGTTTTCCACATTCCCATGTCATGTTTAAGGAAATTTACTACCACTGAGGAGACTTTATACATTTCCAAAGGAAAAATAGGTAATCAGCCAATACGATGCTTACCTGTGCACATAAATGTACACACACATACACAAAGATACACTATGTTTAGATAAAAAGCACAAATCAGTTACAGAAAATTCCACTGGAAGTGTGGAAAAATTTTTAAAAATAAGGATAAAAAAATTTAAATTGAAAGAAAAATAAAAAAAATAAAGTTGAAATGAAGTCAGAATTAAAATACAATATTATTATTATGATTAAATGAAACAGCAGCATGAAACTAAAATCATCAAGCGAAGATAAATTTGCAGCCAAAACTGCTTGAAAGGCATGAATCCACACCACTGATATCTTGACAAAAATGTCTTATCATTGGTATGGCTGATGGAGAAGAATGCAGATGGGTGAATATTTATTTGACTAAAGATACTCCCATAACTTCTACTCAGTCAGTGGTAATAGTTAAAATAAAATTTAAGAAATGCTGTTACACACATTATCACCCTTGACAGTTTTTCATCCTCTTTTGAAATCTTAATCAGCAAATTAAATTTATTTTGTTTGTTTTCATAATATAATGTCTGCAGAAGCATATTTCATTTAGATTTGTTGACATGTCATTTTTTTGTCCTATTTCATTTGTAATGTTGACACATTTGACCAATGACTGCTGCACGTGGGTCATTTTTCTACAATCTCATCTGTGAAAACACAATGGACAGAGGTTATATAATATGTATATATTTTATAATTTTAATTATCTAAAATAAATTGGCCAGATTGGAGTTTAAAGCATTTGCTATGTCTCCAATATATCTTGCTTTCAATCAAACAAAGAACAAAAACCTTCAATTATCATTTCCTGATTTTCAGATTGGCAGCATTGTTTTCAAAGTTAAAAATATTTCAACTCACACATACTTTTATGTGTATGCATATAACTAAATTTACAACACCACTATCTTCTCTCTCTCTTTATATCTGCGTTTTTAACTTAACTTATGTACATGTATATACACTTATATATATATATATATATATATATATATATATATATATATATATATATATATATATATATATAAAAATGTTTTTGAATGATAAAAAATATTAAAAAATTGAAATTTTCAGACACATTGGGTTGTATATTAATATTTTTTGTTTTATTATTTCAATTAGGTTCCTCGACTAGTTTCAGCCAGCATGGCCATCATTAGGAGAAAAAAAATCCCTGCTTTTTAGTAGCAATGAATTACAGGAGTGAATGACTTTTTCTGAAGAAAAAGAACTTTATCTGTAGTTTCCATTTTTTTTTAATTTTTTTTTTTTTTTTATTCTTAATTTTGGTCAGTCATTGTGTCAGTCAAATGACCTCTTTCAAGTTGTTTTTAAGATAGAGAATGGGAGATTCCTGACTTTAACAATTCCCTTGTTGGTCATTTTGACAGTTTTATTGGTTGCTGGGAATGGGATGTGTGTGTTAAGTGTATGTTATCTTTTAGTCCTTTGGGAGTGTGTATGTGTATATATTAGTATGAGTGTGTGTATAAGTGTGAAACCTCTGCAAGCATGTCTGTCTTGTGTGGGTAATAAATGTGGATAGGATCATATATTAATTCTATGTTGTGAAATTTGGGATTAAACCCATCTGGATGAAGTGTTTTGTGGCACAAAATCCATTTGTTTTCATGTTCCTTTAGTATTTTTCTATGGTTATCTTTTCTGTCTATTTCTATTTTTCCAACTATAGTGAATTTTGCATGGCTTTTAAAATAATGTTTTTTTCTAGGTGGAAATGTTGTTCTAAAGGTCATAATCTTTTGTGGGGAGTCGACTTGATCTGATTCTGATAATTATTAATTCTGTAGTGAAAGGGCCATTCAGATTTTCCTACATATTGTTTCTGGCATAGTGTGCATTCTAGG